TTTTTCTAAACCTGTAAAACATCGTAAACCTATAAAAGAAATTAGACAGCTAATGTAGTGGCCCATATTTCATTATGACAGCAGCTCATATGAGGGAAATATATTTGTCAAAGATTTTTAAACTATAAGGAAAGATGGGTAGCTGAGGTATTTCACGTTGAATCCTAATGCACTGAACAGAAAGGAAAGCCTTAGTACGCAACCAACTTGGACAGTATGTCCCAAATGACACGCTGTGTATGCTGGCGATAACTAAAGTACACAAAGAAAAAAACTAGCTTAATTTATCATTCATATTACTTTTCTCACATATTAATAACCATCTGCTCAATTCATGTCACATTTCCTTCTTCGATATTCTCTTTTCTGCAAGCCTTAAGCTGAGACATGAAAGTAGACCTGAAGAACCAAAGAACAACGTGCTTTTGACTATTAAAAGCAAACCAATGATCATTCTATTTCGTTGTAAATACAAAAGATACAAAAAGGTTGAAAAACCTGCTCGAACCAGTTGTGTCAGTTTGATTGCCTGTTTTTTTTTGTAATAACAACCACTCATCATTACTACTTACAAAATATGGTTGGAACAAATATGAATGAAAAGTATTTTGTACCGTAGTTTAATCTTTGGAGTAAAACGAAAACTCGAGCTGTACAATTTAAAACAGTAGCCTGGGGATGACTGAACTATTAGTCTACAGATAGGACTACCTTGAATTCAGAGAGATTCTCCAAACATCATTCTCAACTCGTCATTGGGTTAAAATGTCTGTGCGACACCGAACCCCTGACAAGATTAACAAAGTGCATCTCACGGTTAACACACTACGGTTACAACCATAAAAATGTGATATGAAATTGCTAGAGTCCTTCTTGTTATACAGTAGCACAATTTTCGGAAGATGTCATCGAACGCTTGATATCTCACGTGGAAAACTTAGCGGAGAACCTATTTGAAAAAGCCTACTCATACGGAAGATATCCTAAACATCCATGATAATTTAAGTCATTCCACTTCAATTCTAAACCGACTGAATGAAGCACAGAACAGCATATTTTTGAAATGTGTAGAAGTGGAAGATAATTGCTTGTCTTTCGCAAACATAACAACTAGTCGACGGTACGATGGAATCATAAAACGACCTGTGAACGGAAAACCTACATAAACACGGTAACATCTGAGCTATAGTAGCTTTAGTCCAGTTCATTACCAGCGAGCGTTAGTCAGGTGCTCACTCAATAGAATTCACAGGTGAGACTTTGGAGAGTGAGGCAAGAACATTGGCCAAAAAATAGTTGGGAAATGATCATAAATCAATATCTATGTGTCGGCACAAAGTAGGCAGAGCTCCGAAACCTTCTCTTCACTTTGTCCCGTAGTAAGACGACTTCACCAGTCTCTGGTACAAAGGTTCCTCTCGTGGCGCAATCACTAGACAGTAACAACTGTTATTACAAGGACTTACTATACAGCTAAAGTTTAATTAATAGAAAACATGAATCCTGTATACTCTCCCAAACCTAGAAAGCATGTGAACGATAAGGTCACATCACACTCCATCTATCAATTCAAATGTACGTGTGATGACAGTTACACAGGGAGTAAAGGCTATGGAGCATATTCCAAAAGGGTGTCAAAAGCATATCGGATCACCTGAACCCATAATCTTTGGTAACGGAAGTCTAAGTTCTTCGACTAAATTCTTAGGTAGTATTCATCACGGACTGACATCGGTTAGAGAAAAAATTAGAATCTTATCAACACCAAAACACATTACTGCATACTGCTTATTAGTGGTATGGTTCGAGATGGATATCTCGAAGTTCTAATAAGAAGCCGTGACCCGTGAGGTAAATCAGTCGGAAGTGAAGCTGACACACTGAAGACTTAGAATGATATTCACGCTATATCGCGAAATGAGAGAAGTAGGAAACTGTGGACAGTTGAACTCTGAGGTGACCGAGTGGAAATGACTAACAGAATGGTTCGAAATACTAACGCAATCAGACACTTGAATTGGATACGAATAGCTACTATTCTCTCTCAGACCTAAAACCTTTCTTAGCCGCCAAGATAAGAAGACAAAGACTGGTCTGTGACTGTAAGGGAGATTTATTTTTGACAAAAACACATCATTTATATACAGTTTTACTCACAATATAAAACCATTAGGTCACAAATTAGATACTTATTTTGAACGGTCAGCTGTAGGATTAAACTGTGCAGTAAGGTTTTCCCTGCCCACATAGTAACATGAAAACCAAAGCTGCTACCTTAGTGGCTGATGACTTAGAATTCTGATTTCGACTGAGGCCACTTACCACCAGTTAACAATGGTGCAGAAAGTACTCACCCGTCGGTATCTTCCAATGACTGATTACTTCCAATAACCTCCATTTATTGAATTCTCTCTATTCTATACACTTATGTCCACTTTTATATTAACCTTTAACTATCGACTCATTCTGCGCATGCTATTGTAAGGTGTGGCAACTTAAACCAATATGCAAGGTTCTACGTTGTCTATTTGTTTTTTAAGAGCAGTAATGAGTAGGATGTTTGACAATGCGATCAACCACATTGTGTGATCAATTTCTGAAAGTGTCCTCTTCAGCAGTCTGTCGATCGCCATTTTGATGTCAAATCATCATATAGTAATAAGCGAATACTATCTGGTTTTGCATCACATGTCGACATCCCCTATACAATAAATTACTGTAAACTAGGGATCACTAGACAGCTACCTCGTGTAAGTTTCGGATTACTCAACAGTACATGCCTATAATAAGGATATGCAGAGTCGATCTCCGTGCTGTCCAGTTCCCTGTCTTACTTGTTGTCCGATGATATCCCTAAAAATGGTGTTATACTTCTCTTCTTCACTAAAAGTCATGGTAATGAGAATAAATAGCTTCTCATTTGATACATGCCCATAATCTTGTCATGATGCATAGATTCAACCTATCATAATGTATTCTAAATAAGTTTATGAAACATCTTACTGCTTGCTGGTAGGCACCGTTTCCGATTTTATAGCGAGCTGGTACATTCAGTCACAAGAGACCGCTGATGAATTCAGTGTCACATAAGATAAACTATTTATGTATATGAAATTTATGTTATGTTGAACACTTCTCCAATGGTGGGAGTGTGTCCTTTTTTGATGAAGATTGCTTTCTGATGGAAGCAATTTCAAACCTAGTTACCAAGTGTTTACTAAATAAGACTAGCCACACATTCTTACATACCCCGTATTTAAATGGTTTGTTTGATTACCGATCTTAATACTCTGAAATCTGTCACACCTAGTACTCAGGAGGCAATCATCAAGGCGAATCCATCGACCACGTTCACTAAAGTAACTGTGAATTAAGGTCGACCAGTCAAATAACGTCCGTAGCACACAATTTATTAATACAGAACTGAAGTCTGGGGACTGCGTTGAAGTATAATTCACTCCTGAACAATACCGTCAGACGAAACGGTTATTGCATCGGAATGATATGAATAATAACAGTATTCAAGGCAATAATGTGAAATATCCAGCTAGTTCTGAATGGGCATCCTGGTCCATAATGAAGAATCAATAGAAATGTAAGCGTAATTTGGTGGTGGCGGTTCATTCAGACGGTACAAAAATCTGCAACTCAAGCTTAGCATCTGACGGATAGAAATATGATGTACTTTTTTGCACCGAAAAGTCCATTTCTAAATGACGTAACATTTTTTCTCTGTTTTGTTATTGATTTGAGAAACGGAGAGTTGGAAACAGTTTAAAAATGTGCAAGATTACATGATACATTGAAAGAACATATTTAAATTATTAAAACAAATTGAAAAGAAAGAATTTGATGAAAAATGTCCGATGGATAATTTTGGTAGCCCAAGGTTCAAGCAGGTCGTCGTGACAATGCTAGAAGTATTGTTAGCATTTTAAACCAAAAACCCAATCAGAGAAACACTTGGTCCGTTAAAATGTCCAGCAGATTGAGGTAGCTAGGATGATATATTCCATTAGATGCCAATTGATTATTTACAGGTCAAGTTCATAGGTTGAAGTAGCTGACTGGGGTCAGCCCCAACAGCAAAGTACAAAAATTAAGTGAAATAAAGAATGAAAGACCCAATTAGGAAAAGTAACTTGGAGAAAAATTCGGTTACCTTTCTGCATGCACTGACTAATCAGCAAAATACAGAGTGGGATAGGGTAACATTTCGAAAATCCAGTACGGCTAGATGGAAAGAGAGATTGACTATATCACATGCAACAGGAATGGTTCGTCATTATAATAAGAAAACGAAGAGCGTTGGGATTATAGAAAAGAAGTTTTAAAGTTGTCTCATTACTTTGACAAGATTATGAGCAATAAATAGTGTTCGAAACGTCATACAGTAACTGCTGCTGTGTGAGTCGACGTGACAGTGATCAAATTTTACACCGCTTTTGACAAATTTTTACCAGGTTAAAAAAATAATACTCGTGATTCATATCATTCAACCTACTGAGTAAGCTTATTACCTTCATGTATATTACACGAGAGGATGTGATTGTCATTAACTAAGGAACAGTTTTTTATCGAATGCTTCCCAAATAGATAACAGATATATCAAGGGGACATTTCATATAGCTTGTTTGTTCCACTATATATATCTCGACAAAGAGAACTAACTTCGTCATATATTACGAGATACGTGTAACCACTTATGCAACAATCCAAAGTTTATCGTAAAGGCAAGTCATTCGATAGAAATATTTTGCATAAACATTTCTCAAAATTACAAGTTGTTCATAAAAAAAATAATCGAGAAAACATGAAATAAATTGTTAAGCCCATATCCGTGGAAAACCATCTTCCTTGAATGTAAACTGATACAAAATTCAAGAATAAAGATCTATTCTGGTTATACATTTTGTGGAAAAATAGTAATAAAACAAAAGTTGGATTATGAATACTTATTGCATTCGGTATCACAAATGTGGAGTAAGCAAGGTACATAACTATTGGCCTCTAAGCAGCATGTCAATCTAAAATGAAAGGAGAGCAAAAGAATGAGAGGAATTATACTTGAAAATCCAGTCAGACAACCATTATCAAAATGAGACCTAGTATTACTGTATAGCAATCAATGTCACTATAATTCACATCAGGGTACAAAATTTTCATTAGCCTACGTACACCATCGACGCATAGTGGTAATGCAAGTAGCATAGAGTTGGATGAAGGCTAAGGGTGGACAACAGACGAAGACGTATCATTAGTCCATGCTGTCTCTGAAGAGTGGTCTAACTCAAACAGGAAGGTGTAGACTGCCTGGATGAGGTCTTCCAGATCATATGAATCAATGGTTGGAAAATAATGGTGACAGCTGGAAATAGGTTACAGTGGTGCAGACGTGATTCGCACGTCGGTATCTTCCAATGGTTGACCATTTCTAATAACCTCCATTTTCTGAATTCTGTCACCTTCAATACATTAATATCCACTTCAATATCACCTTTTGTCTGTCGACTCGTTCTTTGCACGCTACTGTGAGGTGCGGTAACTTGAACCGATGGGTTGGTGTCCAAGGTTTAACGCTAATTTTGTCTTTCTGTGCATTAAACAAGATAAAACGAAATCTAAGAAGTGTAATTTAACAGTTGTGATGGGTGAGTCAAAGGAATTCAATAGTACTGCGTGATCAGATCAAGAAAATTATGGACTTTGTGATATATATAGACACGACGAACTGCGATGGGATCACCAATATCCCAGATTGTAACAGATACACAGCTGGGAACCCATGACTTGGAGGACATTTAACTCTATCACTAAGTATGGTAGATATATGTGGGTGGTACATTGACTGTGTTGAAATTAGAACATATCCCTAATTTCTTCACACAGAAAAAGAGCAATAGACGTAATCTAAATGAATAAAGAAAACTTGCTATGTTGGATTGGATAACTGAAACAGATGTCGAAGAGGTAATTCAAATAGTACTGTCTACAAAAAAGTAGCACACTGTAATAAATACCTAAGTCATCCCGCCTAAATAAGTCAAAACGGCTTAAAAAGAACTAAGGGACTGAAAAGAGAAAGGAAACACTAGTTTTCAACCACCATTTTCGTGATTTCAAAATTCAAAACTCACAAGAACACATGCAGAAAGAATGAGTAGTAATATGAATATTGACTGTTACATAAACAAGAGGGGATTCAAGTACACGACGGTAACGTGCAAAGAAGGAACATCATAAGCTCCACGGAGACTTTAAAACAAAGCATGAATTAGGGTGGAATCTAAACCTACGAACTCAAAGAAACAATCTTTTGGCTTGAAGATACATACGACCCAAATGAACAAATCCATACAATGCATGAAATACCATTCAACGATTGTGAGGTTAGTTACATACATTAAACCTAGGTCAGTCAGGTTAGAGGGGAATCAAAACATGACTAAGTTTAGAACGATAGAACCGAATAATGTAAATTCGAAAAAGATCTCATCTATCGCAATGCATGCAATGACACAAAATAGGATGAGAGATCAACAGTTCTGAAGGGCAAGGTGGAGGAAGAAAATGATTACCTAACCTACGTTAATGCAATCAACACCAAACTCCCATTCCTCACATACAGAGAATCTAATTCCTTGACTTGTAAAAGTGCAAAATTATAAGTGACTTTAAAGGTTACACTAGCAACTGCTGAGATAACCACTCATGTTTCCTCATTTTAAAAATAACTACTTTCCCAATCGAAACACGGAAAGCTGATTGGCTATTTCGCCAGTTGCTAGCGTGGCCTTTAAAGTCGCTCAAAATTAGCGTTGAACATGATAGAGCTAAATTTTATCCGTCGTGTGCTTCAAACCACACTTTTCCTAGATCGTTTTATAAAATTTAAAAATCTAGTAAATTACAACCGAATATTTTTAATTCTATTCGTCTTACAAAATCATATACCGAGAACGGAGGAGAAAAGTTTCGAAATTTTACTGGTATCCTATGTCAGTGCATCATATGCTTTATTGGAATTATCATTAATATGCATTATGAATTTCTGCCAGCTTAACTGTACTTTTACCAGCAAACCAAAAAGGAGTATGCAACAAAAGTTGAACAACTCGAATGATGGCAAAAATCAAATGATTTTTTTCATTGTCTATCCGGTAAGATATGTGAATGACCTTTCTAATGTTACACCATCTACCTATCAGAAAAACGTTTAATCCCTTGGGACAAAGATTTGTGTTCCTTGTATGCAATTTTCAGATTGGGCTATTGACACACAGTTTGAAAATCTGTGCAACCAGCTTAAGCCTTTTGTTCCAAATTCAGATGATAATTTAGTTAAGTTTAAAGCTAAATAAGTGGGTGCAATTCACCAGTTCTCTAAAAAGGATCCGAAACTATAAAGCATTTTAATGCCCAAATATTATATAACTTTAAAAGAGAACTACGATAAATTTTGTTGTAACTTTTACTTGGATGATGTGCAAGTACTACAGCGAATTATGACAGCTAATGTAACGAAACCTTTTACCTTCAATATTATCCACAAGGTCAAATTCAACGCAATAAAACCAATAGAATCCGAATTCCTATAACTGAATGATCTATCTAAAATATTTAAACCCAGTTATTCCCTACGCCATATATTATCAACGTATAGAAATCCCCAACACATAAATTTGTTCAATGACTAGCGAAATTATTGAACCTAATTAAAGGACAATAATGTGAGTGTATCTTGAGGTAATTGATTACCACGACGGTATTCGCATAAGAAATAAAACTATGTATTCCTTTGATGTCAACTCCCCGTTAACTAATGTCAAAACATTAAAGGTGGATTGTAGCTAGCAGGAGAGTTCAGGACATGCATCTCAACCTATTTGACGGGTCATCAGTAGGATGTATATGCCCCCTAGTGATTGTTGCTCTCACCAAGACTCCGACCTTGAACCAGCTGCCTCAAACGTCAGAGCGTTATCCAATAGACTACCAAGTTAAGACAGCCACTATATGTGTGACGGGTATAGTAAAGTTTTGATGTTACAGCATGTAATTCTCCATCGTTGAAACGAAACGCGCGTATGCGATTCTACTGCTATCCATCCATCTTCACTATAAAAACAGACAACAGGCAACATTGAGGCACCTGCCCAGGAGCGCAGATAATAATAATAATCACCAATTAACTCAATTCAATCGATGACGGGAAATTACAAGCCAATAATATCAAACTAATGTAAAAACAAATGACATTTTGTGTAACTACATTCCCTTACTCAATTTTCCAATCCTAGATTTTTTTTTAATCTTGCTAAGAAAAGAAGGATTAATAACAGTGGAACATCTGTATGAGGTCAGTCATACACGGTCTTTAAGGAAGTGTGAGATTTTAATTTGTTTGTTTCGAATCCAGCTATGAAGCCTACACCATTGGCACTGCGGAACAGCACAGTAAGAGGGCTTCTATTTCTTGAGGTCGACCTTCTTCAACCCCCACCCACAACAAGGAAAGGCAGTAGCAGCATGGTACTGCTGGTAATCTACAGGAAAGACCTTACTACTTTCACACTCTCGTCCAGTTAGCATCACTACTTCGCCCTCGAACTTCCATCACAGCGTTGTAATTTACACCATAACGGTAACTGCTGTCTTACCACTATACACTGACAAAATATATAAGGAAGAATAATTAATGATTGAAAATAAAAGTCACGGAACACATTCCAAACCGACTTCAGAAACAAATCGAGTCACCCAAGTCGATTAATAATAGAAAGAAACTTAGAAGCTCCTCAATCACTTGACACATTATTATAACAAGGCATAATATGGATGCATGTAAGTTATTTGGGCCCATCTTTAAAACATGTCATGGAGGTAATTTAATTTATAAGTTTTTCGAAGCATTAGGCGGTTAAAGTTACATTTATGCATTCATCATATTTAACCCTCTTTAGTAAATTTGGTTTTGAAATAAACAGTTGTCAGTGAGAGTAATCAGAAAAACATTACGATTTACCTGTGCTTTATACATTTCTTTAACATCCGCCAGATCCAACTTCAGTTCAGCATTTTCTTCAGTTAATTTACCAAACAAAATCAACAGAGTTTCATAGCGCTGTTGTAATTCTTCAGTCTCGTCTGCACCATTATAATAATTACCATCAATATTATTTGCTGAAGAGGAAACATCAGATGTTTCAGAAGATATTCGATTTCCTTTCAAACGTCCAGAATATTTTACACCGGCAAGTTTGGCATATTTTTCAGTTAGCGCCGTTTGCTTTGCAATTTCAGTCAATAACTTTTCTTGAGTAGATGTCAACTGCTCAATTTCACGTTTCAAATGGGCGCACTCACCTTCACGTAGATGTAAGTAAGACTAAAAAGGGAACAAAAGATCAAGCTTCTTGAAACCGAAGACCTATTTCTGTGTGACTTATAAACTAAACATATTGTTCGTATCAAGCACCATGTTGTTCTGCAAAGTTAGATCAACTTGGCTGAAGAATATGTTGTGTTCAGTGAAGCTTTCAGCCTTCTATTGATTCTTCCAGAGACATCGGACCTTCGAAGCTGAATTCGATGAACACAGGCACTTTGTTCACTGCAATATATATATATATATATATATTTCCACATGGATTACAGAACATACTTCAATAGTGAATTAAATAGAACAGGACTAAGTATATGTAACGGCATAAAACGATGCATTTAAATAGAGACTAAAGGTACTACTTACATGGATGTACTCCTTGGAAGCTTCGCTGTCCATATCGTTTGGAAACATAAACATTCTTGAAGTATTAGATACCGGCGAAGATTCTTCATTAGATGAAGACATATTCTGAAAACACAAAATTCAAAAAATTTGTGAAGAATGAGAACAGACCGAATTTGTGAATATTGATGATTGGATTGGCAATAATAATAAGAATTACTAGTATTATTATAACACTGTTAGATAACTGCCAGGTTAAGTGGTAATTTGTCCCATGAATTTAAGAACTACAGTTTCTTTATAAATGAAATATATTTGTACAATCCCAATGACTTTTCGTGGAAATCGCTTCTTCAGAGAATTAAACAACAAGTTATCGAATGTTTTAAGCGCCAAATAGTGACAAACCAGATCACGCTGTTCATACATAATAATAATAATAATATAGCCATAAATATTATTTTGTTATCAGTTATTAGTCTGTGAGTTTAAGGTAAAGATGTGAATGTGTGAGAAAATACATTCATACTCAATCATATATGCACACACATTCACATCTTAGCCTTGAACTCACAGACTAATAACTGATAACAAAATGATATTTATGCCCATATCATTATCATGTGAAATTTTGATCCAGAAATATATAAATTACGTTTCCTTTATGATGTAGCATTAATCACGGACTGCTGAGTTTGAAAGCCATTGAAAACCTGAGAGAACTGGACAGTTGTTTCGTTCTAGTATGGAACTCCTCGGCAGTGAGCACCAAAGATTCGGTTGAGAATCGAGCACAGGACATTCCGGTCGCATGATCAACAAGTTAACCATTCACGCACAGGGTGGAAGTTTAATAGTTCACAGTTTTCTACTTTTATCAATTCGCGATATAGCGCGACTATCATCCAAGGTCTTCAGTTGGCATCCGCTTCCTTTCCCACTGGTTAACGCCACAGGTCATGGTTTCGCATTAGAACTTAGGGATATTCATTTCGAAGCATTCATCACAATTACTTTATTTTAACTGTTCAGATAACTGTAGACTGTATCTTTTTGTCAGGCAAACAAAAACACTGGGACACAAATATGTATGTTATACTGAAGAGAAGTTCAATGATGCAGCTGATACTGTATATTGAGAAAATACAAATAATGATAAAGATAAAAATACTAATCCCTACGATATAGTATCCGTTTGCGAACATTCTCTTGTTCTGCATATCGTTCCGAACTACTTTTCCCTACTACATTTTCATTCAATATTGTGTATTGTTTTTGCTATCTTTGCTATTATTCTCGACGTTGCTACACATACTATTTATAAGCATCTCTTGCTAGCCAAATACATATGCCTATGTATTTTTTAAAAAGTATATTAGTGGTTCTCCTTCCGGTAAACTCCACAAAATCTTTTTATACGTCTTTTTGTTTTAAGTTTATGAACTCAAAGCAAGCCAACAAAGAATAAGGTAAGATATTCAGCCGAGTAAGAAGTTAATTTACATATATTCATGTTTCAACATCTCATTTTACAATGACTCTATTTCTGATTTTCTTGTATGAAATCCAAAAGTATGTTTACATATGAGTAGCCAAGCATCAATATATTTACACGAACATCAAATAGAGAAGGAAATCAGGAATTCGTACATACCCCAGAATTTGAATTCAGTTGTACGGTTAGATTATTTTGCGATATTTTATCTTTTTCGTCTTTAGCTTGTTGAAGCTGAAGACGTAGGTTGTTATTTATCGCCTCCAGTGCTAGATAACGATTGTGTTCTGATAGCAAGGCTTCTTCTAATTCCTTAATTCGAGGACGAAGTTCATTCACCTCCGATTCACAACTGTCCAGTTTAACTCTCAATCTAGATAATTAACAAGGATAATATTGATGAGATTAAATTATGAAAAAATGATTTGTAGTTTTTGTTAAGTGTAAAATAAAACGTTGACTGATATGCGATGATCATTGAGGGTGAAATGAGGAATTAGTTCGCCGATTTGAATCCTCACACAACATAAGTATTCGTTTCAGCCTCAATTCTTTTAAGAAAATTAGAAACAGAATGACTGAAATTTGATAAAAATTAAGACGAATATGTTACATGGCAACAACTTTATCATTATTAGCATACGATGATAGATTGAATTGCAATTATTCAATGTAAACTGTTCGGTGTCAATCGGTATCATACCGTTACCTAGGTTTGAGGCTTGTTGACAGTGACAATGACGACCGCTTCGCAGCCTTCAGGAAACTGTAATTCTCTTACCAGTGTCATCCAGTCCTGATGTGAAAAAACCTCATCGCCTAGGTTACAACTGACAATGTGAATAGCTAGAAAGCTTAGGAAAATTGCTTATTTACATGCCAATGGATAAACCTGCCAAGTTTCTACTGATACGAGAAGAAAACTACTTGACTAGGAAAAGAAAGCGTCCTTAAACAGGTGTGTTCAATGACTCAGTTGTGCTAATTCAAATTTTCAAATAATTGGACTAATTCACACACTCAACCACTTTACTTCCTTTTTCACACTAAAAGCTACGAAGAACAGTCCCGGATCATCAATTTGGATATGGATAATTGAAAACGCATCATAAACACTCTCAAATGGCCACTAAGACTATCCAGAGGACTATGTACCATCATCTAACAAGACTGTTATTTGAGAATACTAGATTTACTAAAGAATCTCCTGAAACAAGATCAATCCCTGCAGTGTGAAACGAGGATTACATCTCTACAAATACATAGTTAAGTAAAAAGACAAAGTAGACATTGGTTGTGTTCCCTGAGGTGGGTGGCGTAATCTTTCTAGACAACATCATCAGAGCTAATTTCTTATTGAAGCGAGTGCTGATGATGTTGTCTAAGAAGACAATGAAAGCTTCAAGGTCAAACCATCCAGTTTAGAGAATACAGCACAACCAAGATCATTCAATTGAACTGCAAATATTCTCAACAAAGTAGACATTCTTGACGAATATAACTTTCTAATATCGCACCAGAGGATCTAACATACCAACGAGTGTTAAAATACAGTGTCATTAACAAAGTGATGGACTTTCCAGGCAATCCTTTTAGTGACAGGCACTGCCATAGGGTCGAATACCACCTCCAGGTTAAGAAATAAACCAACAGTCAAGTTAAGATAAAAGTGCTTGTTCCACAGAACTTGATGGATAGTCTGTCGTTGATAAAACGACGACCAAGTCTAAAACCTGCATGCTCAACTAGGATTTGCTTTCGGAGCTTGGCTGAGGTGTCGAGTGATTAAAAATGTATAAATACCAGACACTGTTCATTAGAATCACTTTCCTGAGGTCATCAAAGGAATTTTACCCATTCTAAAAGACTAGAACAATTAATAGGACAAACCATTTCAAGGAGATCAAATCTGATCCCCAGATTCTATCAAACACCTAAGTCGAGGCAGCAAATAATCCTTTAAGGACTGTTTATCGAAGCCTCTGGCACAAGTTGTGCCAGGCCAGCTTCTTTAACACGCTTCATGCTATCTGTAGCCTTATCAACTTCTGTACATGTTCAGATCAGAAAAGAAAGGGAGAAGGGTCAATAAAACAGTGGCTTAAAGCCAGTTGAAATACACACAGAAGTGTTCTACCCATCTAAACAATTGTCTCCCGTAAGAGAGAATCACAAACCAATCCCACTAAACATGGACACCCCCCCCCACGTTACTTCATATCCTATAACAAGAATATCCACACATTAATTCTCATTATTTCGTAGACTTCAAGTCTGGAAATCTACACATCTTGACTCAGTCACCTTCGGTTTTATTTCAGGCCAATCATATTTCTGCTAACATTGCTGAGGCAGGCGGCATCTTGGCAGGAACAAAACATGTGAGAGCCACCTAATTTTGAGAAGGGTTACAACCTCATTCAGAGGCACCATCTGATATTTGACAAGTGCGAAGTATATGCAAAACATATTCAGATTTTGGCTCAAAGTGTTCGGAAGATCATGCACTTTGCCGACATCTTCAGCTAACAAGAAAATGTTATCCGTGTACTTAAAGTCAACAAGTCAAAGACATCAGAGATGGATACCACGTTTTATTCTGACCACCTCTAACCCTTTTCAAACCTGAACCTACTTAAGCAGATGGTAGCTGGGATTTGTGATACACATGCCTAGTGGATGAAGGCTCACAAACCTCATCGACTGACTTTCTTCTCCACAAAACTCTACCTCTCGCGCGGTAACACCACGACACACGGTCTATGCTACGAAAGCAATGGTGATCCAATATCTGAAGCCTCTTCATATCTCCTAAATCTATTCATCGAAAGCTAACTCACAACATTCAAGCAGTAAAAGGAAATGCAAGAAGGTTTCAGGCTGCTACAACGACGAACGATCAGTTTGATGAAACCGGTTAGGGGAGTCAAAATGAATCATACAGTACCCTCTAATAGAAGTTGAATTATGAAAGGGAAGGTATAACAGTGTGCAGCACAACCGCCCCGATCCCTAAAAGAAAGTCAGATATACCCAGAAAACATTGACAACCGGTAGTCACACGTTGACTACTGAATATATATAGTTTGTACATGTTTTAATCTGACAACAAACCTTTTATCGCTTCACTGTTTCCTTTTGATTTCCATACACTGAGAGTTAAATCTTTTCACATTTCAATTCATTTTCGGCTGTAATAGCATCTTCATACATTCTAGACTACTTATTAACTATAAGTAATATTGGTGATATTTTGCTTAATTGAGGATTGGAAATCAGTATAACTTTCAATTTCAAGGTAGTATTTATTATTAAATGACTTCATTGGAGACTCACTGAAAATTTTGGAGCAAGTGGTTTTTATTTTCAGCTTTTTTCACATGTGTATACATCATTTCTTTGATATTTTCTAATGTTTTATCCTTTACCTTAGACAGTGCGATGGTGCATATTTCATAATAAGCTGTAGTTTGTCAATTGATGCAGCTCTTCGCTGCATACTTGTAACAGATCCACTAAGATAACCATGCTACAGACAGTATGACATCTATATACCTCACAATTTATCCTAATTAATTCTACGGTTTTACGCGTGACTGACATCTGATCGTAGATTTTGTAAACAAAATCTAATTTGCCTATTTGTATCCGATCGGAATTATTTCAAGAATAAAAGAAACCACTATTGAGATGGGAGTAAGTTCTACACTTGAAAACGACCTTCTTCCCTACCGACAATTAACTTTTGACCTTTTCCCATTCCTATTGTTGGTGTTGGTGAAAATATCATCTGAGCCAGCATAGGTAGGGTCGAAGGTTCGAAAAAACCCGGTAAAATATCAGGTTTTGATAGTGAGCTCACCACTGAAATGGAAATTCGCTCGGAACACTTAGAATATGGATTCATACGATTGAGGGCTGTCAGAACGAAAAGACAGTTGATTGCTCAGTGTTTCCGCGTAAAATGTGAACTAAATATTCAGTAATGCAGGAATTCCCATTTAGACATTTAGAAAAACAAACAATGTGAGCGAAGAAATATTTCTTTTCAATTAGTTCCTCATCAATGGCTCTGCACTAATATAGCATTTTCAAACGTAAAATTACACACCAATCTAGTGGTGATAGTTGTTTAACGAAAGGTTATCAATCTCAAAGTATGAAGAAGGTGATAATTGATCAGGTAATTAAGACAGTTAACTAAAGCATAGATTAATTATAGCAGAAAGATTCTGTGAACCGGTTCTTACATAATTGATATTTTGTATAATGGTAACTACAGAGCGAAAATGAACTGTTACGTAAAGTGGTAAATTGTTGACGGTAATTAGAGACAGTAGGGGGAGAAGAAGATGGCTAAGTCTGTAATAATAATAGTAATAATAATAATAATAATAATAATAATAATAATAATAGAGCTATTGAAATGTTAGTTATAGTCAATTGTGTGGTGAATGAAATAAAGTCTTGTTGTAATAAATGAGCTACACAGATGGCCAAGGCAAAGAAAGAGGCAGTCCTAATCTCTTCTGAACACACAGACTTGGATTGTTTAGGTGGATTCTTATGCCTTCTGCTGCATGTAGAAGACGAACTTGTAGAGCATGGGTGAGGTTAGAAGGAATGTGATAAATAACTTTAAAGGCATTATGAATGTTAACTTGGTGGCAGGTGTCAATCAGATGAGAGAGTATTGAGCTTCATATCGATCTGGTTTCCCCCTTACCTAGCCATGAAGGGTGGGTGGGATGGAACTATAAAAAGAAATGTGTATTGGAAACCAACGTCATTATTATCATTATTATTACAGATTTAGCCATCTTCTTCTCCCCCTACTGTCTCTAATTACCGTCAACAATTTACCACTTTACGTAACAGTTCATTTTCGCTCTGTAGTTACCATTATACAAAATATCAATTATGTAAGAACCGGTTCACAGAATCTTTCTGCTATAATTAATCTATGCTTTAGTTAACTGTCTTAATTACCTGATCAATTATCACCTTCTTCATACTTTGAGAACCTCACCTGGTTAACTAGTTCACTAGTTACTAGCCAGTCCCAAGCCCGGGTAAACAGGGAAGGTTGTGCATAGGGCTAGCAACCCTACCCCGTAAAAGCCTTCGGGAAGCCAATTGGCCGATGTGTCTTCTCTCCCTCGATGAAAGCGAAAGTAAACATGGGGACATGGAATGTCCGCACCATGTTTGAGCCCAGCAAGGCAGACCAGATTGAAAACGAGATGAAGAGGTATCACATTCAAGTGCTTGGGATTCGCGAAAGCAGATGGAATGGAAGTGGACTCTCCAAACTGTCAACTGGAGAATCAATAATCTACTCCGATATTGTCACCCAGACGACAACCACGAGCACACTGAGTTATGGAGTGGCTATCATGATATCCCCAACACCATCGAAGGCCCTCATGCGGTGGGAACCAATATCCTCCAGGATCATGACAGCAAGGTTCAACTCAAAAGGAAGGCCACAATCACACAATGCTACACTATGTACCCACGAATAATGCAGAGCAAGAGAAAAAGGAGGAATTCTACAGTCAACTTCAACCAACACTGGACAAGACCTCAATTGGCAATATCAAAATTCTAATCGGTGGGGCGACATGAATGCCAAACTGGAAGCAGACAACACAGGAAGAGAACTAACCATCGGTCGAGAAGCGCTCAGTGAAGTGATGAACGAGAATGGAGAATTGTTTGCAGAATTCTGTGCATTCAACAATTTGGTTATTGGAGGCAGTGTGTTCAAGCACAAGGATATTAACAAAGCGAGCAACATAGATTTCACCAGATGGACACACTAAAAATCAGATCCACTTCATCTCAATCTCAAGAAAATGGAGACGCAGTCTACTTAACACAAGGTCAAGAAGAGGAGCAGATGTAGGTTCACACCACTCACTGTCTAGTGCAAGGAACCTTCTAAATCAAGTTAAAAGCCTTCAAGGAAGCTGGTGATAGACCTCAATTTAAGTACAACACTCGGAAAATGAAGGATGAAACTACAAAGGAGATCTTCACGTCAGCCATCAAGACAAAATGGGAGATATCGAGGAACATCCCTGAAGAAACCTGTGTGGAAGAGCACTGGAAGTCTTTGAAAGAGATGTGGAAAGAAACCTGCACAGCAGTATTAGGAAGGAAGAAGAAAGAAGACAAGGAATGGATCTCGACGGATACCTGGAAGCTGATAGAGGAGAGGAGGATGGTGAAGCAGAAGACAAACCAGTGCAGGGATGCACAACGAGAAGTAGAACGGAGTACAATGTATAAAACACTGGACAAAGAAGTGAAAAAGAGTGCTCGCAAAGACAAAAGACACTTCTACGAAACACTGGCAAGTGAAGCAGAACAGACCTGACAACATTGTATCAAATAACCAGGTTACTATCTGAGAAGAGATCAACCCAGCCACAGAACTACAAGTGAACACAACTCCTCCAACAAAAGTCGAGGTCATGAACGCCATATAGCTACTGAAATGTGGAAAAGCAGCAGGACCAGATAGGATCCCATCAGAAGCACTGAAAACAGACGCAGAGACAACAGCGGACATGCTCACACCACTATTGCAGAAGGTCTGGAAGGAAGGAAGGAAATCTACCTGTCGACCGATTGGAAGAAGGGTTACCTTGTCAAACCCCTAAAGAAGGGATATCTCAGTGTTTGCAAGAACTGGCGCAGAATCACACTCCTGTCCACCCCAAGTAAAATATTAAGCCGCATCATCCTAGAGAAGCTTAAAGATGCACTGAATTCAAAACTGCCACCCGAACAGGCAGGTAGGCAGGCTTCAGGAAGTACAAATCATGTGCAGACCAAATTGCAACGCTTCGCATCATCATAGAACAGAGTATAGAATGGCAGACAACTCCACACCTTAACTTTATCGATTTTGAGGCCTTCGACAGCGTCGACCGAGAAGTAATTTGGAAACTGCTTCAATACTACGGAGTACCGCAAACATTTATCCGCCTCATTCAACAACTATATGAAGATGCCACATGCCGGCCAAGTAATTCACAATGGGAAGCTCAGTGATGCTTTTGAAGTGAAGACAGGAGTGAAACAAGGTTGCCTACTATCCCCCATGATATTCCTGATTGTGGTCGACTGGATCATGCAGCAAACAGTGGGGAGCGATAAGAGGGGGATACGCTGGACTGCGGAAAAGAACCTAGAAGATCTGGATTTCGCCGATGACTTGTGCCTAATGTCACATAAACTTGAAGATCTGCAGGCAAAAACTAACAAGTTGGCAGAAGAGGCAGGGCAGCGAAGACGGGACTTCCTTCAAGTGAATACGGAGAAGACAGAGGTGATGAAGATACCGCACCACCACCATCAACAACAACAACAAACTCCAGTCACCATCAACGAGAGAAACTTAAAGGAAGTAACCTCCTTCACTTATCTAGGAAGCACTGTTTCAACTACAGGCGGGACGGACGAAGACGTCAAAGTCAGAATCGGAAAAGCAAGACAGGCGTTCATTAGCCTCAAACCAGTGTGGAGATCTTCTGCACTCAGCATACGGAACAAGATACGGATTTTCAACACCAACCCAGTCAAGTCAGTGCTCCTATATGGTTCAGAGACTTGGGGCGTCACGAAAGGGATTTCCAACAAACTACAGACATTCATCAACAACTGCTTACGCTGGCTCGCTACTGAAGATCAGATGGCCAGAAAGAATAAGCAACAAGGAACTCTGGGAACGAACCAACCAAGAACCTATCACCCAACAAATATGCAGGAAGAAGTGGAGATGGATTGGCCATGCACTGAGAAGGCCGACTGAGGACATCACGCGCCAGGCCCTCGAATGGAACCCAGGTGGGAAGCGACGAGTTGGACGTCCGAGGGTGACATGGAGGAGATTGTGTGAGGAAGAAATGAAAGGTTGTGGGTAGTCATGGAGCCAGGTTCAAAAGATTTCAGAGGACAGAGTGGAACAGAGACGTGCTACTGAAGCCCTATGTTCCATTAGGAACCCAAGGGACAAATAATATATTAAAAAAAATCATACTTTCAGACTGATAACTTTTCGTTAAACAACTATCACCACTAGATTGGTATGTAATTTTACGTTTGAAAATGCTATATTAGTGCAGAGCCATTGATGAGGAACTAATTGAGAAGAAATATTACTTCGCTCACATTGTTTGCTTTAACTATTATTAGTTCATTTATTAACCAGTGTCTGATAGAACAATCTTTTTATATTAACCTAAGCAGTTACTGGTTCGGTAAAATAACAATGTAAACTACATTTTCAGTTAGTTTCCGCGTTACTCCGGAATAATAAATCTTGCCTTCCTAAACTTGTATTTCGTGTCCTTCAGTAGTGTGGGACAGTATTCCAGTGATCGACTGACGTGTATCGAAGATTCGTGGGTATGCAACAACAGTTCTTAATCGGTATTCCATCAGTTCGGGAAAATCTCCAATCAAGGATTATTCGGTCACTTTAAAGGTCCTCAGTAGTGGAATTTGAAACTCTGCATTATAGCTTCGGTGCGTTCTGCGAAATTCAAAAGCGTGCATTACTTGTGGAGTATGATACACTTTTCGTCAAGAAGTGGCTTTTTGAACTCCTACCATCGGACGTAAATGCGGCTGTCTCGCACAAACTTCAGTGTCTCATGAACGTCTTAGGACCCTGCTTTATTGACTGATCGTGCAAAAACCTTTCGAACCACATAAACGACGTTTTTATTAGATGAAGCTATGTCGAAGAAGAGAAGTATTATATTAGTAAATTGATTGGGAGCGATGAAGTTTCCACAATCATAACCACAGACATCTTGCTTCAGACAGTTTCGTCAGTAGGTCTTCGTGTTGAAATTTAGGCCAATAGCATTTATTTTTCATCGACGATTATGAACTATCGAACCATCATACTATCCTAGAGTTATTCCTCAGCTAGGTGCATACGAGCTGAAATAAGTCTCCACTCCGACTAAATGGTGTTTTTCGTAGAACGCTTGGCCTAAATTAGCTGGAAAGGTTTACAGTTAGATGTAGGGTTTAGAATGCAATTTAATACGATTAACAAATCTATCAACAAAAAAGGCACTCGATTTAAGCTTTATATTTAGCTAGTTCCAATAAGATGTATTTAACAACTTTAGGGGAACTGGTGTTCGGAGTTCTAAGAACTAGGCTGTAACAAATTTTAAGGGTGCAACTCTAAATTTACCATTAATCGGTTTTGAAATGACCTGCTGTGATAGTGAACGTCCCAAAGTATAGATAAGCTACTGCCCCATATCCAGTCTCTGATGCACCTGAAAACAGACTTAGCGGTATTCATTTAGTTGCGAATCCAAGTGGTTTCAGACAAGATGGTGCCCTTAAATTCCCAAGTTTCTTAGTTTTATTAAACCAGGTTTGTGTATTCACACAAGTGCTTTTGTCTACCTAATCGTTCTCTTCGCAATTACTTCAACACAACTGTTACATAAGTCTTTGTAGTGGAGTTAATAATGGTACAAAACAGGTAGGAGAGTCATACAAAGAAGCGATGAGATTAAACACTGCTTCTTTTTGACTGGAGACAGTGACAAACTTAGTTCAAAATCAAGGTTGTCTGGATGTACACTTCGATAAAATACAGCTTATGAAACTTTTGTTCTGAAAACGGGTTCACTGATTATAAGTAGGTGACATACTTATCCACGCTGAGGTAGTCTGACATGTTTTCGTTTTTAAAGACTCGGGATTTTTAATACGCATGCAGTTGAAGCGAAAGTCACAGGATGCAGTGATTTCATTCAATGCCAGATATATCAATTATAGACCTATATAGACTAATATAAAAAAACTACTCAAAAATTGATACTCACGCTTGAAAGTTAAGTAAGTGAGTGAGTGATTTTTGCTGTTCATTCGAAATTACGTTCTCCAGTTCACTTTGTTTCTGTTTAAGTGAACTGTTTTCTAACTGTGACAAATTTAAATCATCCACTGCAATTCGAAGTTCACTTCGCCATTCTACTTCAGAAGATGAGCATTTTCAGCTATTTGTTTATATTCATCTGGAATAACAATAGAAAAGGTTACGACATTTTACGAGCCCTAAAAATTAACAAGTGCATAGACATGCTTTATCGCTAAAAAGATAAAACTGCACGATGGACTGTGAAATGTTTCCAGGATTTACAAAACGAGTAGATGACAATATGTCATATTCTGTCGCTAATTAGAATTTTGAGGTGGTTTCTCAACAACTTGTGTAATATCTAGCCACTTCATAAGATTCGAGTTTAGTGAACATAAGTGCACCACGTTCTTCCATCGCACTACATACCGAGTGTGCAAAGAGGAGATTAGGAGTAAAGTCTTAGGTACGTGTCTATCATCTGATAATACTGTAAACCTTCATGAACAGAAGTGTGGGATATGTCGTACAAATTAAAACACTTCCATTCCATGAACCGCATTACAGAAAGAATACGTTGCTGTCTTTTACAACGATTTGCCTATGTAAGTGGCAATGTTAGGTTTTATACTGACGAATATTCTTCTACTAATTAGAGTACTAATCAATCGACATATGACCACTTATTTTAATGTTTGGAGACGAAAATATGAAAGCTGATTGAAGCTAGCAATGTGTGGTTGTACTTCCTGTGCATGTCACATATTTCCAGAAGAAGAAGTAACTTAGGCTTCGGAGAGGAGCTAAACAGAGTATAATCTCGTAAGGTAAGATAAATTTCATCGAAATGGTATAACCACAAAACTTGCGAGTTGTATGCTACATCTATATGAGATAAATGATAACTTACTGCCAACAATATTTACAGACAAGAGACACAATTCATCTCCAACCAGACAGCATTCTAGAATGTAACGAGTTGTTTTTTTATAGGACAGGTGAATTATGTAACCTCACTACGTGTTTACTCGACAAACTAAAAGCAGAAAAATAGTATTATCTCAGTATGCCAGTTATCTTTATAATATTTGCTTGGAGTTTAGTTTGTTTGCAGTTGACAACTAGCCTTGAAATGAAATGACTTCATTTTAACTGGAAAATTATTGTTTACTGATCACAACAATAGTAAAAATACGAAATTTTCATAAAAATGCCAAGTATAAAAAAAGGGAAGAAAAAAACTCATCCATAACAGAAACAAAAAACGACTTTTTCCTGCAACTTAAAACACCATGAAAGTGGAGTATTTCTTCATTATATGTTTAAAAACTAATGTGAACAGCATTAGAGCTTCTAAATAATCATCAAACAATTTACATAAAATTTTAGGACGTTGACATTTACTCCATCGGCATGAATCGACGAAACTGAGTAGTGCAGTCATAAAATTTACACTGACAAAGAAGTAGACAGGCATAAACATCATGGAGCTTTGGATAAGTGAGTATTGATCCAAGTTGTTACTAATATCATTCAGAAAATAGGAGGAAACAACAAAAGTAAAGGAAAAGGAGCAAACGTACAGATGTCAATCGACATAGAGAACTCTGAGGCAAAACGACAATGAAATAATGATACATCGCAACCAGAATACTGAAACCCAGTCAGTAGCTGAATCTCACAGTTCAACCAACCAAAAGCTGCTACCTTAACGTGATGGTTGGGATTGCATATATCAGTGACCTAATGAGTGATCGTGGTAGAAGCGCTTGTTCCCTGAGGTCGTTTCACTACCGCAAAGGTCTTCTGGATACTGGTATAATAAAAAGTTATCAACGTAAAAGTATAATCAGCTCTGCTATGATACGATTCAGATGGGAAAGTTATACTACTTGTGAACGGAGTTGGAAAGCAGTAAGGTGTATCACAAAGACAACCACCAATCGATGGCTGATAGAAGGAGGAGGAGGAGAAGGGGGGCTAAGAAAGGTTGGATATAAAAATTACCCACTTTTTCTTGCCCTGCGGTATTCTAGTGTCAGTGATATAGTCCCTTTAACATATACGATGTTGGCAAATCAAATCTCGAGCCAACACTATTTACAGGAATATGCAAAGAACAAATGCGTAAAGAAAGAGTGATATCAAAGCAGAAGAAGGTATAAGGGAAGAAAAGGAAATTGAAAATATTCAAGTTTTAGAAAATGCCAAGGAATAAATACATCTACTTAACTGTGAACGATTTTCAGCCATATCACGAAGGGTTTAAAAATAATTGATTCCTAGGGTGTCGACGACTCCAAGCAGACAGTCTGCACCTCTATGAATGGCTCAGATCAACAGTCAGAGACTTCATGAACTGGTGCCACATCTCGGTTTGGTCACTGAGTTTTCTTCCAACTCAATCAGACTTCGGCTAACATTGGATGTATACGATCTAAGACTCGTCAGCAACCAGCTCGTTCGTGTTAATGCACCTTCCCAAGTAAGTGAAGTGGTCAATACATTCACTATGTATCCTCTAACTGGGAGTAGCTGAAAATCATTCATGAAGCATCATCTTATATTTGACAGATGTGAAACACATACCAAACATACTCAGATTGCTGCTCAAAGTGTTCAGAAGTCTATTCATTTTGCCGGCATCTTCACCCAACAGGAAAATGTCATCTGGGTACCCCAAGTCAACTAGATACCATTCAGGGAGTAGGCAAATCCCTGTGAAATTGAGGTGACAGTAAGCACACCTGATAGACAGCAGAGGCTACTGTTACTGCGCAGGACAACCTACCTTGGGTAATTATGTAGCTTCATGAGTTCAAGAAGATAGTAGTGATAACAGAAGAATCCTTCTTCGACAATTCTACCACAGACAAATAACACAAAAACACACGCTGGTCGATACAGTTGAAGGTCACCTCTAGGTCAAGATTCCAATAAATAGCAGAATACTATAGCATTGATAAGTGTGTCATCCATTTAAATTCAGTAAGTCCGTTTTCAAAACAAAAGTTAATGTGCGAATCACTGACATGTAACGATGAATACATCTAGACTTCACGAGAACAGTACAAGAAAGTCTGCATCTAATTATAGTCGATACATATGTCAAATAATATTGATAAGAACAATAATTATTATTATATATTTGTTTTATTCCGAACCATAAGTCTGTTCACAGTGCAGGATCCTCATCGTATAACATTGTAAAAGTTTACTCGTCTTTTCTATAATGTACGAACAATGATAAGACAGTGGTTTACAATATATTACAAATAACAATAGGATTATTGAAAAAGTTGGTGACTACAGGATTATGATAACTGTTCGCGATTATAAAGCTGATTGACAAGATTGTTTCCTAAATTCTTTACTTCACACAGTACACAAAGAATAAATGCGTTTTCGTATGTGGTTGTGGGTCCAAAGTTTAATATAGTTTCTTCTTGTTTTCCCTCAGGATAGGCATGAAGAGAGGTGTGGATGCAGAGGATACTTGTTGTCAGATAAAATACTTGTAGCCATCTGTCCTACAAGAGTTCATACGTCTATACACAACCCCCCTTATCAATATGGTCAATGGTGTACGACTCGCACTATTGACAGTTTTTAAAATTCTACGTAATTAAACATAGTCTTTTTCCGAAGTCCAGGGAAGAATGGGAGGGGGGTGGAGGTGGATAATAAGCAGGAATTAAAAATACGCAAAAAGAGCGGCTGAGTTGTGCCGGAAAGTAGCAGCTTTCTTACATAAAAGGTCAAGCAAAGGATTTTCTCCATGACAATGTGGAGGGATAAAGAAAGGTCAGAATAAGAGCATAAGTCAAGGCGGATCACGTTAGATGCATTATTTACTACAGAGCCAAAATAAGAATCATGGGACTGAAGCAGTTCACGAAAGGCTTGTCCATTTCTTAAGCAAAAATAACCAGGAAGAGTAATGATGAAATTCCGCCAAGCAGCTACTTAACTGAGAACAAACTGAAGAGGAGATGATCGGTAAGTATACTGTTAGGTTTTATGCATAACAAAAGTTTTAGTTGACTTAGGTAAGCCATGGAAAATGAAAGCGGAAATAAAAAGCGAAAAAGTAGCACCTTGAAGCACACCAGCTTCACTAAACAGCGAAGTAGATTAGTCTCTTCTAAATAAAGTTTACTCTCAAAAAATGGGAATAGGATCAATTTGCAAACCAGGACTCAATATGAATAACGACAAGTTTGTTCGATAAAAGTAGCTCAGGAACAGAATCAAAGTCAGAAGTATAGTCTAAACAGGCAGATTTAACAAAAACCAGCACCTTTTTCCCGTTCGATAGTAATATAATGTAAAACAGCTGCAGAATCTCTTCCTGTGTTCCTAGTTAAATCGATTTGGAACACCAAAAGCCTTCAATAGAGATTCAAGCACACGAAGTGACAATTTTTCCATTGCTTTTATAAATGATGGAGCTATTGAGATTGGCCGAAATTTTACATTTGCACCAAAAGATGCCCACATGAGTACTAGAAATATTTAAAATCCCTTCTAAGCAGTTGGTATATCGTTCTTTGCAAAAGGTTCATTAAAAATGTTCATGAATAGCTGGCAAAACAAATTAGCACACTTGCGATGCCATTTAGCGCTAAACTGCATGAAGGCTTTAATGATTTCAAGAATTTGAATACATCCGTTTCATTTAATTCGGGAAAACCACCCTCCGTTATATGTGAAGAACAAAACTTGATAACGTTGGCAAGCTTGAGTAGGAATGACTAATCTAGTGGACAGACAATTTTGCAGGGTTCGCTTCCTTTTAACAGTAAGTTCTTTAAAAGGTCCCCATATGCTAGATGGCTTTCTACACGACATAACAACCTTATCAACTGACATTCCTCTCCCACCTAAAAATACACGGCTAACTTCCACGTTACTGACGTAGTGGTACTACAGCACACAGCATATGCTATCAAACAAACGGTGGTCCAACACCTGAAGCCTCCTCATCCCTTACAATCTCAACAATCATGTTTCACAGCTACATAACAGAACAGAACAAACTGTGACGCCGTACAATCGTCCCCTAATAGGCAATCAAATATCAAGGCAGCGTCATAAATGGTGTGGATTGGTGAACGCTGAACGACGCTTTGTATCTGTGCAGAGAGTTTGTTGAACACTAACCCATCATGACTGGTCTGACGTCTTACGTGAGTGAAGTGGTCAAAGCGCTCAACAATTTCACTTTGTATTGTTTAACAAGGCAGCAGAGACGACCAGTTCTGAGGCAAAAGTTCGAATTTCGGTAGTGAGAAACTCATCTCAAACGTTCTTAAACTGTTACTCAAGGTTTCCAGTAGATTCTGATATCAGTCTTCAATGTCTTATTTGATCTTTTTATACTACTGTGAAGTGCAATAACTTGAACCGAATTACTTCTGTGCAAGTTTTCAAGTTCATTTTCGCTGTACCGTTACCAGCATAGTACGAGCACTACTAGTTAGAACTGTATGATGACTTACGTGTGATTATCAACCTAGATAAACCCCGACTAAATATTTAAGGAGTAGTTAAGATAAAAGAGGAATGCAGTGTTGTTACTGTAACTGACTACGAGCTATATCAAATAACTAGCAAATTTCGAATCTGGGTGTCAAACTGAAACTGACAAAGGAATAACACTCTTCTCTACATGCATAGGACAACCAATCATAGACTTTGGAAGTAAATCCATATTCGGTTTTGTCACAAATTTTTCAAACCTAAAACGCTTCACGCCGGTTAACACTCTATCACGGAGTCAGTTAGGGCATAAATGTTGGACTATAACGTGCAGCAGAAACGAGCATACCAGCCACCAGTGATCAAACAATACTTCCAGTGTTCGAGAATAATATCGTCAGATACCATGCTGAGCATTCCGATTAGAAACTCCACAAGGTTTTAATGGGAAGCCAACAGTTAAAAACATATACTTATCTTCAAAGAAACCACCAAAACATTACTGCGACTACTACTATTACAAACGCCTTTTCATAGAGTGATTAAAAAGTTACCACATGTTCAACATGAAAAAAAATTATCATTCATATCTCACAGTTTCCAAATAATAGCAATGCAACAAAAATTGCAAAGACACAAAAGTTACCCAATAGTCTGTTAAGATGCTGCTCTTTTCTTTCCCACTCTAATGTCTGACTGGATAAATTACATTGTAGAATTTCTAGCTGCCTCATAATTGGTTGAGCGGCATTTGTTGTGACTTCGTTCAGTGACTCAATTTTCAGTTGAGCATCAGAGAGTAACCCTGATTTATAAACAAGAAAAGCATAGATACAAATTATGATAAAGTAAAAAGTGTATGTCCATTAGTATTGTATAAAATGGAAGTGATGATTCATTCGGGTTAACGCTCAAATTTGCATAACTGCGTTACAGCTCAAGTTCCCAAATCTCGCATAGGAAAATTAATACACAAGATAGCAAGATGTAAAATAAAGAGAGAACACAAAATGGAATTGAAAGTTACAGAAAAGCACAGGTGAATAAGAGAGGTAAGCAAATAAAGTTTTACGATATAACATTTCACATGAAGGCAATGATGGATGCACAATAAAAGCTACTGTCATCGATTATTAGCCGTATAACCGAGAATCTCCAACCATCAATTTCGGCTGTCATAAAAACCCCAAGTGGCAAAACTACTTTTTTCCTACGCACTTCGGACAAACCATTGAGGATCTCGTCAGTGAATGCAATGTTTTAAACTAGACTCCTTTAACCTTTATCTAAACTTGTCGAAGGTCAGGGAATGTAGTCCGTTGTGGTAGATCACTAAGAAGAAGTAAAACACAACCAGGTCAAACAGTTGACGGTTTATAAACTGATTCTCCCCCACCTAAAATTCAACTCCTAACCTCTCTCTACACTACGTCTGCAATGGCAGTATCTTACAACTATGCAATAAGACACTGAAACGCTGAGCAGTTTAATCGACCCTTAACAGGTAATCAACAGTCTTGCTGGCATAAATTGGTAAAAGCCAAGCGAATCTTTTGGATTTCTGTAAAGATTTTATCATTTACTGGTTAATTAAAATCTAGTCCAACCTATGAAGTATGAGTTGTCAATCTGCTCAACTCCCTTACTCCTTACTTTTAGATGACGTGCTAACATGGGTCAGTCATGATACAGCATTCTGTGTAAGGCAGGTCACAAATTTATCTCAAACTGCCACTAACGACGCTTAGAATACTGTAGCTTGCAAAAGTTATGTCGTCGATGAAGAGTGTGTTCCACGATAAGACCAATCCTCGCAAACTCACTCCATGATAGAGGACTTCTACGAGTATGTCTAAGACAAAGTCAAATACGAGTAGAGATGGAGCGGATAGACTTGAAAGATGTGACTAGAGGTAAAAATATCACCGGATAGCTCACCAAAAGCCATAAGACATTCACAGATGTTTGAAAACGAAACCTTTCGTGGTCCATTATAATTCTCTGATGTCCCCTTTTAGTGACAGACACAGCCAACGTAGCATTTGACTAAGTTGAATGTCACCACTTTAAAGTCAAAAACATAAGTGTTGCATATCAGTAAGATATGACAGAAGGGCCACATCTAGTGGGTACATGCATCACCTACGTGAATGTTTGTCAGGTCCATCAAGAACCAGATGAATACAGAAATTAGAATCATACAGAAATCACGGGTTATATTGGTTCCCCCGCGGTAGTGTAGCCAGATTTTTCGAATTTCACGAATACTTTTCTGATAGGCAGTTTGTACTCCATTTTAAATGACATCAGATTTATCATACAGTGTGACAGTGTTGTTTACTGGATTACGTTTCGGACATAATGTATTGTCCATAGTCATATTGTAGTGGGCGTTGCTGATAAGAATGGATATAAGTAGTATATGTCGAGAGGGTGGCAGAAATCACATTATATTGTTCAAAACGTTTTCTTATTCGTCTCTCTGGACAATTTCGTCGCCAGTGTCCAGGTTTTCTGCATACAACGCATTTACCCTGTCTGTTGACATTCATTCCAAGACCACACACCTCTTCCTGGCATATAGCATCATCTCATGATATAGCTGTTAAATGAGGTTGATAAAGGTTTGTGACACCAAAAGCGTAGTAATGAAGCAGCTGTCTTTCAAATTACTTCTCGGCCGACACCATCGAAGGCCTAATCAAAATCGATGAATTTGAGGTAGAGAGTTGACTGCCATTCTACGCGCAGTTCTATGATGATGAGTTGCCTTGCAATTTGGTTCGCACATTACTCGTACTTCCTGAATCCAGCCTGTTCAGCGTCGTGATTTTGAATCCAGCGAATCCTTCAGTCTTCGGAGGATGATGCAGCTTAAAATTATGCTTGCTCTGGGTGGACGGGAGCATGATTCCTCGCCAGTTCTTGCATACACTGAGGTCTCCCCTCTTCGGGAGTTTGACAAGGTAATGCTTATTCCAACCGCCAGGTACCTTTCCTTCCTACATCTGCTCCTCTTCTTGATCTGATCTTGTGTCCAGTATGCTGGCTGCGTCTCCACTTTCTTCACATTGAGATGAAGTCGATCTGATTTTTAGTGTAGTGTGTTCTGGTGTCTAGTGAAATACATGTCACTCGCTGCCTTGTGAATATCCTTGTGTTTGTACACACTACCTCACCTCCAATCACCAAATCATTAAATGCTCAGAAGTCTGCAAACAGTTAGTTCTCCATTATCACTCATCATTTCACCAAGCGCTTCTCGACCCATGGTTGCTTCTCTTCCTGTGTTGTCCGCTCCCAGTTTGGCATTCATGTCACCCCACCGATTAGAATGAATTTCGATGTCGCCATCTGGGGTGGGTTGTGGTCTTGTCCAGTACTGATTGCAGTTGTCTGTAGAATTCCTCCTTCTTCTCTCGGTCTGCATTAATTGTAGGTGCATGGCGTAGAAGTGTATCTTTGTGACTTTCCTTCCTTTTGAGTTGAATCTTTCTGTCGTGATCATGATCGTGATAGTTGAGGAGATTGGTTTCCACAGCATGAGAGAGAGAGAGCCTTGGATAGTGTTGGGGACACCATGATAGCCACTGGAAAACTCAGTGTGCTGTGCTCGTGGTTGTCGTCTGGATGACAATGTCGGAGTAGATTATTGACTCTCCAGTTGACAGTTTGGAGAGTCCACTTCCATTGCATCTACTTAAGGAGACTCCCAGCCTAGCACTTCTAAGCCATACCCCCTCATCTCTTTTGCATTCTGGACAGCCTTACCAGGTAGCTTCAAACATGGTGTGGACATTCCAAGTCTCCATTGTTGCTTTCGTTTTCATCGAGAGAAGAGAAGACACATCGGCCAACTGGCTTTTCGAAGTCTTTCACCAACTGGCATCATTTCGCCTCTCCAATTCCAGCGAGGAATAAGTTTAATTTTATTTTTTGTAATTTGTTTGTGTTTTGAAGTTCCTTTAGGGAATGGATTGGTTTTCCGGGGTAGGGTTGCTAGCCCTTCACTCTTTATCCAGGCTTAGAACCGACTAGTAACTAGTGAACTAGTCACCTAGGCGAGATAAGAAACCAATAACTGCAGGCTCTCGCAGATGTGGCTCAAAAGCAATCACAATGGTTCAGATGTATATACTCTTTATTATCTCTGGTCCTAAATATCTTTATAAACCCTCTTTTACTCTTGTCCTGTACACTTCTGGCTACATTAATGTCATTCCTTCTCGATCCACTTGTTTTGAATGCTTTTGTACAGAGTGGCAACTTGATGTGATATAATTTTGTAATAGATTTTACACTGATATGTTTTTGTGTACGATAATCATATCAGCATTGCATACCTTTACGCTACAATAACACAGTTGATGATATTCGTCAGTATGGCGTAACTGAAAAGTTCGCGAAATTTATGTACATCTGGAGATTTGAATTTGAGTCATATAGAGTTGTTTTTCAGCAGCCAATAACTTTCTCCCCTCCTATGAAAGTTAAGACACTTAGGGATCCAGAAACAAGCTCTATGCTTTGGGTTTCAGAAAAGAATAACAATGACTAACCGATCGAATAAAATGACCATATTGCTAATTATGCTAAATGCGAACACCTGGGTTAATAGACAAATCTCATACATAAGGTAATGATTCAAGATGAGAGGAAACCTACACCAAAGTAGGATCCCAATCAAACTGCTTGTTCACATTCTGTCATGATGCGGATTCCCGTCAACTCCAATTACTTTTCAGGAATTAATCAAAAAATTTCTGAAATAAATAGGAAACACACTTGGTAGTATTGTATTTCTTCTCTCCACTTAACAGCTTGTTCCTCATGCTGACGTTTAAATGCGTACGCCTCGTTTGTACACTGGTCCAACTTTTCTCGCAAAGCTGCACTTTCACTTTTAATTTTCTCTAAATCTCCAATAAAATCACCTTCAGCTTTCGAATGACTTTGAATTTGATCCAATCGTTCTTTCAACTCTGCATTTTCGCTAAGAAGAAATAAAGATAAGCGGTTATCAGCGTTCATACTAAGGTGATACATTACAAGTAATACAAGCTGTTATTTAATTTCTTTTCTAAAAAATAGAGTTGACATATTAGGTTACCATGAATGCTGAATAATCAATGTGGTCACTCTTCATGGTGATTATCCTGTACTAGCTTCATCAGAATAAGGTATACCCCATCCATATCAGTGAGAATCACCTCCTAAAAAACTAATCCGTTAATACTGATCACTGGGATCCCTAACATTATATCACCTCACAATTGTACCACGCTACTAAAAGGTCGTCACTGACACACGTTCCTACGAGTACGTCAACCTACCAGTGAACACAATAATGGGTGATCGAAAGACTGGTAACTGGTTGTGGTGAGTGGGAATGCTTCTTTGCGACATTTAGTTAAAAAAAGTAAATGACATGTACCCTTGAGATACGATTGTCAAGGAAAAACTATAAAGTAAATCCACAGCGATGTAATGAATATAAGCAGTATGTACATGAAAGCTTTGCAATGAACGAAATATACTGAGTGAATACCTACCACCGAAAATACATTTCCCAACCCACAAACCTTCAGTACTGCTTCTAGATACAGCATACGCATTGTGTAAATTCTGCCACATGTAACCCGAATAACGACTACGCACACAAAGACACAATCAAAGCAAAGGATACCACAAAAACACAAGGTTTACTTGATGAGATTTTCTAGTTCGTGTTCCTGGTCCGAGAGTTTACACGCGTTCTTACTAATCTGAACCTAACAAAAAAAGTAGTATTCAAAAGAAAGAAAAATTAAGCAATTATATATACACACCGTCCAAATAGCTCCATAGTTCAACAAAGACATTGTGTAGCTAAGGATTAGATAATTGAGAATTCGAAGCCCATACACGCATCTAAGCTCTTATAACACGTAAAGCGTGATGTCACATCTCACTCCTTGACAAATTTGCACATACATAAGGAGGACAGACAGATATAGGATCTGGTATCAATGCACAGAGGTCCCGGTCATCACACCTTATATAACCACATCAAGCGAGAATACAGTAAGATGAAAGATAAAATAATAAGGAAGAACGCATCCAGTGGTCAAAGAAAGTCATCAAGAGCGATCAAGAAGGAAAGAAAAAACACTTAAATTCAATGTAATGAATAAGATGAAGACAATGTGTGGATACATCTGAGCCATTGACATTGATTGTCACACAAGTCACCTAGAGTCTACGACTACCGGTCTCTTGTCACGCGTACCCCAACTAAGAGGTCTACGTTTCCTTGCACACTTCAGAACAACAGTCAAAAACTTCTTACAGTGATGCTGTTTTTAGTGTGACCGTCCCTAACCCTTTCCAGCCTGAACATATCAATTCCATAGTTCAGAAACAAGACAAAAAAGCATTTTGAGTTCACAGCACTTCAAATCTTTGATAGAATTACGGAACAGATCGGATATAATCATTTTTAAACCCTATAAGGGATCGGGTATCGTTGTGACGAATAAATCTGACTATAAAAATAAAATGTTATCCATCCTCAGAGACGAAAGCAAATTCATAGCCGGTGTCCCATCAGAAGATATTAGAAAATTGGAAGCAAAAGTAATCACTGACTCAGTAAAACTTTTGAATATGAATGCCATTAGCAAAAGGAATTTAATTCATTGAAACCTATGAGATCCGAATTTCCAAATTTATATAGATTACCTAAGACTCATAAAGCTACTAATCCATTACGCCCTATATTGTCTATGTGTCGTTCCCCTACACATAAACTGGCGAAATGGTTGGTAAAAATGTTAAATCCAGTTCCAAACGAATTCTGTAAGTTTTCATTGAAAGATTCTTTTCAAATTCTTGACTGTCTTAGTAACATGAATATAAAAAAAGACTATGTACTCTTTCTATGTAAATTCCTTATTCACTAACGTGCTATTGTCCAAGACTATTAGCATTCTCTGTGACTATATATCCTCTAAAAACCTCCCATTTCCTATTACTCCAACCTTTCTGAAGGAGTTATTATTGTTGTGTACCGACAAAGTCCGCTTTATATTTGAAGGTGAACGCTTTCGATAAGTTGACGGTGTAGTTATGGGTAATCCATTAGGACCACTACTGGCTGATATTTATATGTCATATATTGAAAATCTGGCTGGTGATCTCATAGCTAAAGTTCCTCTTTACAAGAGATATGTTGATGACGTCATAGTGATTTGTGAGACGCATGAGGATATGGCTTGTCTACTAAATAGACTTAACGCCGTACAAACATACATCAGCCTGACATGGGAGAAAGATAATAGTAATCAACTGCCATTCCTAGATATACTTCTCAGTCGATGAGAAGGTGGTTCAATAAGACGGTCAGTTTACAGAAAGCCTACATGGACAGGACAATACCTGAATTTCCACAGTTTTTGTCCAATCTAATACAAGCGAGGTTTAGTAAAATGCCTGTTTAATAGGATCTATCGTATCAGTACACCAGATGTGATGGATGAAGACATCAAATTACTGAGCAAAGCACTTATGGAAAATGGATATCCGACGAAGTTTATAAACCGTTGTAGAGGTCAATAAGCAACAAAGCCAACTTTATACACGGTCCTTAAGAACAATGTCCATATCACTCTACCATACAGAGGGGAGCTAAATAGTATCATTTTGAGACGTAGGCTGACATCAGCCATTAAGAAAACGTATTACGCGGCGAATCTTACCATTATGGAGAAAACAAAACATGCTTCACCAAAAACCTAAACACTGCATCAGTGATTACGTTACATCCCATTGTGTTTACCAATTTACATGTGTGTGTGTGGTCACACATACATAGGGAGGAGTAATCGAGTCATGCAGTTACGGGTGGGAGAATATATGCCTAAATGGCTTCAAAAACAAATGGAGTGTGAACCAGTGATAAACGCTGGTGTGAGACGACCCTATTCATCTATAGCTAAACATATCATAGAAACAGGTCATAAAGCTAATGTTCAGTCAGGGACGTATTCTGAGATTTGCGGAAGCCATAACCATACAAGAATTTAAACCACCTTTATGTGTACAAAAACAGTTTGTTATTACACTACACCTACCTTGGTAAACTTTGTTTTCTTACCAAGGTTAGGACCAACTATGTCACTTCCTGTTTGTCCTCATCATTCTTAATTTTAATCCCCTATTGTGTTAATTGTTGTACTTATCCCCCTCCCAGTCCTCGTTTTAATATATATTGACTTGACAAGTAAATGTGTGATCGGATTGTTCGAAATGCATTGCGCAAATATATCAAATTGCTCAGATAAACTTCGTCTTCTAATTACGCTATTGAACATACTTCAACCAAGATTTTGCGATGCGACAGGTGATGACTTGTATGCACAACATATGTACCAAACACCAAGTCAACAAAAGCTCATAACCTCATCAACTTACATTCCTCTCCCACCTAAAAATACACGGCTAACTTCCACGTTACTGACGTAGTGGTACTACAGCACACAGCATATGCTATCAAACAAACGGTGGTCCAACACCTGAAGCCTCCTCATCCCTTACAATCTCAACAATCATGTTTCACAGCTACATAACAGAACAGAACAAACTGTGACGCCGTACAATCGTCCCCTAATAGGCAATCAAATATCAAGGCAGCGTCATAAATGGTGTGGATTGGTGAACGCTGAACGACGCTTTGTATCTGTGCAGAGAGTTTGTTGAACACTAACCCATCATGACTGGTCTGACGTCTTACGTGAGTGAAGTGGTCAAAGCGCTCAACAATTTCACTTTGTATTGTTTAACAAGGCAGCAGAGACGACCAGTTCTGAGGCAAAAGTTCGAATTTCGGTAGTTAGAAACCCATCTTAAGCTCCACTGAAGTTGTTCAGAAGACTGCAGCTTTTCAAAGCACTTACACAACAGAACCGTCACCTACCTACTTTGGATTTGAAAATGAGTTCCATGTTACAAGACCATTCCCCTATGAACTCACAAAATGACAAGGAGACTTCGAATAGTACGTAAATGATAGACGTAAGAAAGGGGAGAGTTGACATCCTTGATAGATATCGGTCAATCTACACAACACCTGCTAACTCGTAATATACGCTAAAGACTTTACGAGAGTTAGAATACAGAACCTTCAATAAGTACCCGGCACTATTAAGAAGCATTGGGATAAGACCAACTGGTTGGTGCAGTCCCGTTCCGGATTCAGATCGAGCATTACAGTTAGTGTCAGGCGTTGGTAAGGGAGCTTGTTTCCATAGCCTGGAGGGCTGTGAATATCTGATCGATACATCCAAGGCCAGGTCTGTAGCCTGTCTGGATCTCCCGGGTTTTCTGTCCCCAAGGTCCACTCAGACGTCCAATGATAACAGAACCCATAGACTTACACACTTTGTTCGTCGGGTTGATTTCTATATGGTCATCACAAGAGGACTTCTAACCTTTCTTGAAGACTTGAAAAGTCAGTAATTGAGATCAGTCAGGAGGGATCATATCTGACTTCCATACACTAGTTAACAGTTCGGTTAATTTAACCAATAATCCTTTACCACCTTCCTCAAATACCTCTAGTACTAGTTCAACTGACCCGGCTGCTCTTTCTCACTTCAGGTTACCTACAGCTATCTGCAAGTGTTGCTGCTCCTGTCGCATTGTTCCATTTGGGATCCAAGTGGAAAGCAGGAAACGAAATAGTAGCTGGAGGCCAGCTGAACTGTTCTTTGAGGTGGTCCACTCACGGTTTTAGTCATCTGCGCTGCGAGTGAATAACAGACCCATCCTTCTCCGCAGTAGTTCCACTAATCACCAAACTTTTCGTAACAAACTCCTGGATGACTCTAAGCAGCTCTACTGTTACCTATCTTCACTGCCTTTCCCTAGCTTTTAGTCTTCTCTATCCACCACTGCTTGCGACTTTTGCGTAGACTATTTTTCAGTCTACACCTGAGTTGTCTCAACTTATCATTTTTCCCGAAGCGCTGGGGGATGCGTGTGCGTGCATGCACTGATTCGGGAAGAGGTTACTGAGATCCAATAGTTCTTTTTAACCACTTACAGAGTGTCAATTACCATCTTCAACGCTGTTTTTACAGGAGAGCAGTAGTGGGACCAGGATTCTTGTAGATGATTGTACTGTTTTAAAAACTGTCTAACCAGTTCCCCGCTGAAAGCAGCCTCAGTATTCTCATCGTTGAACAGCACTCGTAATGGCACTATTGCTGTAGTTTTTCCGCCTCTATTCAGGCGCAGACACTAGCTTGCTCAAACTGACGCATGACCACCAATCAAACGCGTGCTCCAGAAGGAGTGGTATTCTTCCTTCAACACTTTCCAGCGAAAACTGATTGCAATATAGTCCATCTGTGTTCACCACTGAGTTGAGGTTGGTGGACACTACGTCAGATATTACCAACTTTTGTCTAAAGTCTGAGCTGGTAAGAAGTAAATGGTTATCTGAGCACAGTTTCAGCAGACCATCACCGTTATCTCTTAGGCTGGGAATCAGAAAGTGTCACCTAAGTGCTTTTCTGCCTCACTCACCCTACCCACTTTGCATTAAAATCACCTGCAATAACAACCATGTCTTGATGTTTGGCTTTCTGTAGGAGACTAGGCAGTTTGCAGTAGAACTCACTCTTCACTTATTCCGAACTCCAGTCAGTGGGTTAGTAAGCAGAGATTACAAAGAGACAAGGGAGAGCTTTGCTACTTTTTAGTCCTCACTGTGCTGACCAGTTAAACAGCGCATAGCTGACTGTTAATTGAGATCCAGCCAAGTAGTGCACTTTTTGCTTTGTGTTCAATGCTATACCTATATCGCCCTTTTTCTATCCACCTTCTCTTTGTGTACTACTGTGATGTGTGGAAACTTGAGTCGACGCACCTATGTGCGAGGTCCTACGCTAATTTTGTCAGTCAATCAGTAAGACTGCGAGAACTAGCCATCGAATCTCCAGAAATGTCAAGGGTGAGGTTTTGTGGATTCAGCATATTGACCGAGTGAGGTTGAGTGAATAACCGCACTTGAGTACTGTATTTGTCTTTAAAACGCAGCACACATTCATCTGAGAGGGTAGAGTTTTGGTTAGCGAAGTTTGTTGCCTGATTTAACACAGGGTATAAACATGGAAAACTTTTGTATGTAGTTTGAAGCGCAGTTTTAGGAGACCATGGATGCTGTTCTGCGAAGTCTAATCGTTGTCAAAACCTGCAGAGTTGGAAGAGTTGGCGTAAGACTATTGATAGAGAGGTTAAGATGAAAGACTAGAAGGCAAAGATGTTGACGGTTGACAATGAAATAAAGGAAATTTCGAGTGATGGTTGAGTTATGAGGGCGGTTGACTCTTAATGATTGCACCCATTGTGAAAAACCACTGCCTCTTGAAGTACTTGGGAACGAATTTGGATAATTTATAGAGATGCATCACTGCAAGAGACTACAAGACATCTACCTGAGATCAGACCTACGAAGTCTATTTTGAAGTTTGAGATTTTAATTTGCTTGTTTTGAATCCAGCCATAAACACATACTGCCGGCACTGAAAGACTAAAGGGAAGAAAAAATGAGTTTGCTATTTTTTGACACCGACTTTTTCCAACCCTCGTTCCTAGAGGGAAAGAATTAGGAGGATGGTAATGCTGGTCATCCGCGGAAACATATTAATGCAAAGTTCCACCGTACATTACAAATATGGATGCAGTTTATTTTTGAATATCACCAAAGCAAACTCTGTAATAAAGCATAGTCGCATATATCAACTATCTCGTATGCTAGTGTGAGAATTATAAGAATATTTGGCTGTTTATACATATGTATTTTGTGGAGATTTCAGATTATAGCTAGATACTGGTTAGCTGAGACTTTAAAACACCAGTTTGCAGACTGAATAGAACCACTTAAAACCTACAAAGATTCACAGGGCACGCTAGTACACAAAATGAAAGAAGAAATGGATAGTGATTTTGGGATAGAAACTAAGTGATTTATTACATATTAACATTATCGGGCGATCAAGAACACTTCGAATATCTTTTGATTAAATTAGTGGTAAAGGTCGTTTTAAAAGGAAACATATCGACATGTGACTTTTAATGAAAACCACTTTGCGAACAAATAATAGGTATTTATACCGGATTGGCATAAGTTTAAGAAGCATTGGAAACCTAAGAGAATTAAGCTTAAGGGACTCCTTACCAGTACTTTCGAGTTTTCAGTTTCCCCTGATTTCAGTCCGTGATGAATACTAACTTGAAAGTTATCAATCCCCACAAACCTCCAGACTGAAATAATAAGTAACGCGGCTATTTTATGCTACATATTTAAAATGCTACTTTTGACATTCCTTCTTGATGCGAAATCGACCTCATGAGGGATCGAACTAAGCACCATCAGATTTCATGGCGATCGCGCTGTTATTCAGCCGCTGAGTAGGAATCCAGTAAACCATCATTTATTATATCTGTCAACTCACGATATAGCACAATTATTGTACGGTGTAATAAGTGGGTATCACTCCCCCCCCCATTCTATCCATCGCAAAATCATACTGAAGAATCCTGAGACTAGGAAGAAACAGCCTCCTAGGTCCTCCAGATTTTCAACAGCCCTCAAAACTGAAACAATCCGCGATGAAAACTATTTTCAGATCAATAAATTCCTATGAACATTAGTGGACTGGTTGCTACGTCGGCCTTTAGCATCGCCGTTTTAGTTACTAGTGTACCTTATGGGAAGAAAATTAAGTATCTGTGCAGCTCGCTATGATTGATCAGCTGAACGTCATACGCACATGAGCAGTATGAGACAACCACAACTACAAATCGTAAAAGCTACATGATGAGTGAAAAAGATAATCAACAACTTTTATGGCATCAAAAGCTAAAATCAAGCTATTGTGGTTAAAGTGAAAAGTGGGTGTATATCTGAAACGTAAGAGCGGTAGTTAATTTGAAAAAAAGTGATATTAAAACAAATGTTCATAGTGCAACTGAAAACAGATCAGAACAAAAAGAAAGATAGCCTAGTAGTTGTGAAGGGAAGTTGTTTGCAACGGGAAATAAACTAACGGTTACAAGGAGGTATATATATCTTTGAGGTTCTGAAAAAATCACCCCTTTAATCGATTGACTGCTTGAATGCACCGATTATGATTATGGTCGCAATTCACAAAAAGTGGGATAGGATAGAAACCTTCAAAACTCAAAAAATGTTACCTGCACAGAAGAGTGCTTTCTAACATAATCAAAAGATATTCATTTTTGAGTTCAGGGTATTTGTTGTCATAATTAAATGTCAATGATGCACAATGGACAACATGTCTATATATTTCTTATTCAGTTAGTATTATGGTTTGGAGTATCCCCTTAATTAAACCAGAGAATGATAGTTTAATATATCTCCTTTGACCCTTATAAAACCAAACCGGAATATGTTCTTGTATACGTGTTGACAGCAACCTGTGATCACGGCCGATGTACCTTGCTCCACAGGAGCAGGTGAACTGGCAGATACACATTGAGCAATTAACCGATTCCAACCATTCAACCGACCCAAACAAGTTTAATATATGTTTATATATAGCACAAAAGGTTACCTTCACAGGACAAAAGACTGCAATATCACTTTCTACACGATGGCAAAGAGAAAAATAAAGCCAATAGTGTTACCTTGAGGAGTTCCAATTGCTCGTCTTGACTATCGATCAATTTCGCTTGTTTTGTACAATGCGCTGGCAAATTATGAACCAAATTAAATACAATTAGATAGATGATATTGATTAGACAGTGCATAAATATAGATATTTTAAAATAAATATAGACAAAGTAAATAAAATAAGTGGAAAAGATGATACACAAAATTTCATAGAGTACGATTTACGGAGAAATGTTAACATAGCAGATGAACAAAAAGTAGCATAAACAAAGTGTCCACCTCCGATCCATTTATGCAATTAAATATTCTTCTTAAAATCAACAATAAAAATAAATCAGTCATGAGCGGTACACACCTTAATTACAAAAAGATAAACAAAAACAAAGTAGAGACTCGCATAGACGTGCATCACTTCCAAATGACACATTCTATAGTAGCACGAGAAAAAAAGTGGATAGATAAGGACTGATATCAAAAGCGCATAGCAGGAAAATGAATTTTAAAGTCATGATTAGTGAAGATGTTCAAGCCTAAAAGATAACTAAAACTGCACACATCCACACAACCATGATCGATTTTCAGGTAAGTCATCAAGGATTCTCAAGCATTGATTCCTATAATCTCGAGGACCCTAAGGTAGTCTACACCTACCTACAAGGCAGAGAACAACAGTTAGAGACTTCAAGAACTAATCATTTATCTTAGACTGACAATCCTGAGCCTTATTTCAATTTAACACAACTTTTGCTGGCATCGTATGCACAGGAAGGCCTAACTCGACTAGTACCTATCGCCTAACAGCGACATTGCTGACATGGTGATTCCACTATCAGTGATCAATGCTGCAAAAACACCTAGGGTGAAAAACCTGTAAACGCTTCATATCTCTCAGTTTTAATGGCCATATTTCACAGCCGGATATCAGGAAAGACCGAACTGCAGCGCAGTATACTCATTCTTTAATAAGTAGTTGAATATCATTCCAGACAGCGTCAAGGATGATGTAAATCGACAAATGGCAAAAGAGCTTTCAGTTTCTGAGTTGAGATTTTGTCAGCTACCATCCAGACCCAACTGATGCAACTCCCCAGGCAAGTGAAGCAGTCGACGTATTCCCCAATTCAAAAAGTATGTTTAAGATAAGATCTGTTACAGACCAATCCTAGAGCATCATTCTACATTTGACAGACGTCACAGAAATGCATGCCAGCCAAACATACTTACATTTCTGCTCAATGAGTTCGCAGGACCCTATGTTTTATCAGCATCTTCACCCAGCACGAAAATATCTTCTGCATACTCCAAGTAAATTAGACGACCACCATGTAGATGAGGAGTTAATCTCTGTGAAGTCTGATGTACCTTAGGTTATGTCCACTACTACGTCTGGGACGAAGTTAAATAAGAATGGTGACAGTGGACATCTCTCGAGGACACCACTAGTTGTCATCATTTCACATGATAAGTCTGCGTCGGTTCGATTTTTGATTAGCGTCATGTGGTTGCTCAGTACTCCCTTCGCAGTCACACACTGCCCTAACACATCAGGGTCGACTGAGTCAAACTTCGCCTTCACGTAAAGAAATATGTAGAGCGTCCACTGCTGGCAGGTATCCCTGTGTTCCAGAAACTGTCGCAGGATAAAAGTATGATCAATGAAAACTCGTCGAGGTGTAAAACCTGCTTGGGATTCTCGGATTTCTTGTTTTCGAGCTCCATTTACGCGGCGTATGACTATGGAACCTACGATCTTGGATATGATATCAATCAAATTGATTCCCCTATAAATGTCGCGACAGGGTGTATCTCTTGTGAGGACAGGGCCAGCTGTAATCAGTCCTATCACATCAATCAGTTAGGATGACGTTGAGGAAACCCAATGATACTTGCTAACCCTTCGAGGTAGGTTACCAACTATCCTTACCGCTGTTTCGGTAGCAGACTGAAAATCACCCGAAGATTCCTCAAAATGAGAACTCCTGAGAATTCCTTAGCTGCCTCCTCTAGAAATACGTACTTCACATTCTCATTTTCCAATCGAGAAGAGATAGGTTTTATTGTCTCCTCCAACCAGTAAAGTGCAGAAATGCACGTGTACGTACAAAAAGTGATCCGGATCAAACAGGTACTGCATAAATAGCAGTAATCCTTCACAGATCCTCTACAACGATGGCTCATAACAATATAATCTATCCATGTCCATCCTTACTTTGTTGTCGGCGAACGCCATGTGAGACACTCTCTCTCTCTCTCATCAGACTCGAAATTAGTGCTGGTCAGAAAAAATTGAGTGTCAGAACAAAATTGAGACAGACGATCACCCTTATTAATTCGTTGGCATGGGACTCCGTAAATATCTCCAACATACCTTTATGATTGGCTCAGCTCACTTCTCTACTTCAGTGTTGAAGTCAACTCCCATCCATTATGACCACATCTAAACCTTTCGCTTTCCGTAGCAAACTTGACAGCTTCTCATAGAATCCACCCTTTTCATCATCTCAACTCCAGTCAGTGGGCGTGTAGGCGAAGATTATAAAGAGGTATCGCCTAGTCTCACAATCCTTCCTAGTCCTTACAGATCCACTCAGTCGAACAGAAAATCGAAGGCTGTTGATTGGTATCCAGTCGAGAAGCGCAATTTCTGCCCTACAACTCAATGCTATGCCCACACTAGCGAGCCAGAGAGAGCCAGTCATTGGGTCTCCAGATACTCTTAGGGTGAAGTTTCAGGATTCACTAGTATAACCAAGTGAAACCAAGTTAATAACTACACCCGTGTCTCAGAAACAAATCATACATCAATGGTTAGAGATTTCTCAGTTTCGGTGAGCGATGTTTGCTGTCCGATTTGACACATAATTTTCACATTAAAAGCGCCTACATGAAATCGATGGTGGTGTCTTAGGAGACTAGAAATGAGGTTTCGATGGCTTCGATCGTTTGCAATGGTCGCAGACTGAGAGGTTTATGAAGTTGTAAGAGGTTCAATATTGATATCAAGAGGTGAAGGGAAAGGAGGAGACAAAGGTATAGAGGGTAAATTGTGCTTCACTACACTCTGTATATTATTGGAAGCATGCAGGTGGTTGACACGTCCCCGTTGCCGAAACCGCGAAAGTTGTTTCTGCAACGTATCTGAAAGAAAAAACATTGGATTTACGAGACAGCACAGCCCCTGGGATATCTTCTTGAGGCCCATCACACAGAGCCTTTTGAGGATTGTTGGTATGAGGTGTGACTGTTCTAACGCCGGATACGGAAAACCCATACCACTGGGATTGGAAAACTGTGAGGCAGAGATAAGTATGCTATTTTGGCGGCCATCCTTTTAAAGCCCCCCCCCTCGCATTCCCATATGGAACGCAGCATCAGCGCCGTACTGCTGTCACACCCCCATCCAGCTAAAATCACAACTTCACCCTCCGACCCCAATCATAGCGTAGTATAATACACTATAACGGTAACTGCTTTTCCTCGTACCACTATCTGACAGACCTTTCTGGTATAGTAGAACTTCGAGGAAACAAGCGTTCCAGACAGTGTAGCTCGTTGAGTCACTGTAGTGTTCACATTTCCATTAAAATCAACTTACGGGTTTAGTTCTTGGAACCTGACACTCTCAATTACAATAGAAGACGGAACCAGGTTCCCGGTCCTACTTAAAGAACTTAGCGCATAAGCACAGAATATACAACGAATAAAGAATTGAGATTCTTCAGAATGGAAACTTAACCTCGTTCACTGATATGACAAATAAGCCTGATGATCCTCACATATGAACACTGCTAAAAAAAAATACCTATGCATGAATCTGAAATTCAAGCACGGAAAAGTTAGATTATTAAGACTTTCGGATACGGTCAACTAAGAAAGAATGATCTAAACACAGGATTAACGATATAATACTCGACAACTCGCCCAGCTAACACAACTAAGACAGTATTGGACTAAAGAGAGTTCAGGCCATTTAGAAAGAATGGATCTAGGGACAGAACCCTTGCGCCTATATATAATGTGGACGTCCTTAGGCGAACAGACAAATTAGCCTGTTAAAAGTGGAAGATTAAGTAATCGGGAAATAGGGTTCTTAAGTGCAGTGGAAAATGATACATGTGAGGCGAAAGGTGTAAAACAGATTACTCGAATTTCCTGTAAGGTAAATGTGTGAAATTCAGGAATAAAATATTCATTTTTGGTAAGTGATATCCACAACGAGTCAAGTTCCAAACTCTCATCTATCAAAATCAGTTTGAAAAACACTCTTTGCTACGTCTAACTTTTCTCACACATACGTTCACCAACACGTCAAAGGTAAGGTCCTATTGTTGGCGACGTGCCTGTGTGTATATAAACTTACTTGCTCTTGTGGAGCTACGTACATAGGTCGTACCACTTGGACAATGTCAAGAAGTGCTCATGAACATATGCCGATATGTTTATTCAAAACAGAATCCAGATCAATAAACAGCTCTGATTTGGAACATGATAGTCTGTTAGGTCTCACAGCATTTGCACTTAAAGTATTCGATGATTTATAAGCCGTTCACATCGATTTCGATTGAATCTTCATTGTGTATCAGACGCTTTGGTTATTGACGGAAAGAATCTTGAACTCGGAGTACATAAGCGTTTTGTTCACTCCACCTAGCAACCATTGCCTTAGTTTCAAAACTCTTTGATTTTTGCTCAATAATTTTGTCTCCAATCTACTTTCATTAGCTTTTTTACGGTCTTCATTGATTTAAACCTTTCTTACTTCCTTGTGTATAAAATTTATGCTCCCTAACCCCATTTTAGTGTTAACAAGCGCTTCCAAGCTATATTCCTTATTTTATGTCTGCATATTTTTGTTACTTAAGACTGACTTGAAATTTCCCAAACCATACTACTTTTATCTCCAGACTCAGTCACATACATTCTGTTATTAAGTTTTGACTCTTTTTGGCACTATTTATGATACTTCCAAAATACAATATAAATGTACGGCTTTGGTGGGATTTAATCTTCAAACATAACTGGAGGTTTGAACGTATCCTAACTAATAATGGACTGGATGGTTTGAAAAAACTGAAGGTTAGTGCAACCCCATGGCCATATTAGAATGTGAGTAATAGATCAATTTTGTATACGATAATGACATTGAGCAATTTAGCTGTAAAAGTGAACATTTTATGCATAAATTCATGGCATTTGATAATCATCATCAAAAAAGGATATAAAACCTTACATAAGCAAGAGCTTCTTTGAATATATCGATAACTGTAAATTCAATTATCATCAAAATCAACATAGGATCAGGCATTTCTGTGGTCTATCTGTGTCCATCGCTGAGTTAAGCTCGGTAAACGCAAGGTCAGATGTCTTATTGTATGTGTGAAGTTTGCGCTGGCTAGAAATAAATGGTTATCTGAGCACAGTTTTAGCAGACCATCACCGTTATCTCTTAGGCTGGGAATCAGAAAGTGTCACCTAAGTGCCTTTCTGCCTCACTCACCCTACCCACTTTGCATTAAAATCACCTGCAATAACAACCATGTCTTAACGTTTGGCTTTCTGTAGGAGACTAGGCAGTTTGCAGTAGAACTCACTCTTCACTTATTCCGAACTCCAGTCAGTGGGTTAAGTAAGCAGAGATTACAAAGAGATAACGGTGAGTTTCACTATCCCTTCTGACTCTCACTGTGCTGCTCAACCGGACAGCACATAAGTGACTGTCAGCTGCGATCCACACTATTAGTGAGCTTGCTGTCCTAGTGCTTAATGCTATGTCTACACCTCCAAGGCAGCGAGAACCAGTCATCGAATCTCCAGAAACTCGAAGGGTGAATTTCGCAGATTCACCGTATTGACTGGGAGAGGTTAAGTGGATAACTGCACTTGAGTCCTGTGTATGTACCTCACAAACACAGCTCATATCCACGGCCCGAGTTGCTAGATTTTTGGCCAATGAAGCTTGTTGGCAAATTTGAAGGAAAGTGTCGACATTGGAGACCCTGATATATAATTTGGAGTGTGGTTTATGGAGACCAAAGATGCTGTTCTGTGGATTCAGATGGTTGTCAAAGACTGCAGAGTTAGAAGAAATTAAAAGTGATGTAGGATTGTTAACTAAGAGAAATGAAGGAAGATTAGAAGGTAAGAATGAAGGAGGTGGATTATGCTCTGGGGGAACTTGAGCGCTTATAGAGGTGTGAGGGCGGTTGACACTTTCCGGCTGCCCACATCGTGAAAGGCTAGGTCTTTTTGAAGTAAAGGAAAGAGAAAAAGATTTGTGTGACCGCACAGCATGGCCGATAACCTTGACTGGTTACTATATTACAAAAGAATAGACTTCCGGATGGTAACTGAAGATACATGTATGGTGGTCTGAAAATACAGTTATTGTCTAGTGACTTGGTATCTAAAAGAAAACATGCAACAATGTCATAAAAACTTCATCTTTTAACATTCAAGGTTGTGCTTTTGTCTGTATTTGGAATATGAACTTCCTGAGTTGAAAACATATTCTGAACAATTACTGAATTATTTAATTAAATAGTTGCAAATTTAATCTACCGATAGATACTTTTTACGTCATAAGAGATTCATATTTAGTTTCCATGATGTTTTTAAATGCATTCATTCATTAATACGTTGTGAATACAGTGTTTTTGAATATATATATATATATATATATATATATATATCTTACCCAACTGGGTACCAAGTAGTTCTTCTTTATTTTCCAGGTTGCTACGTAAACGTTGTACTTCTGCTGTCAACTGCTCAATTTGTTTCCTAAAAAATAACATAGTGAGTATAAGTCTACAATTGAAGTGTAAAGTAATGTTGCACAATAATTTTATTTCGGACATACACCAACGTATCTGATGTACAATATTTTAGTGCAAAACGAACAACGTATCCTTACTAAAAAAAGCATGAGTAAAATGGATAGAGAGAAGACTCGTCGGTTAGATGGAGATATTTACTATTCTTAACAGATGACAAACGATCACTACTGTCAGCAAATATCAATAATAAAAAATGAAAAGAAAAGATTGAGGAGAGGAAAGTTCGGAAGAAAGTTACTGACATCCTCAGACGGATTTGAATGCAGAACATTAGGACGCGCCGACCTGGATTCCGTTACACGATGAAGAGTTTCGCCTGCCTCTTTTACTCATCAGTACTGAATCGAATGCCTAATATATTTTTCTTATTAAATAGTCACCAAGATTTTAAAAAAGGAATGGGTATGAAAACAAACCATCGGTAATCTTTAAAACGAACATTCTGAAATCTGAATATTCTATTCAAAAACACTTTACGATAAGTAACACTGTACAACGACCTCTCTCCCGATAATGCCAAACCAACAACGCATTTACCATTCCTCGCTAAATTTTCCATCAGTGACGTTCTTCAGATATCTCTCAAGGAGTTAAATGAAGATAGTGATGAAATACTTTTCTACCTTCACCATTCGAACATCGTCTTACAATGTGACAGAAAAACTCAAATCAGCCAGTGATCAGTGTTCACAACTACGGTATTTGCTTAGTACCATCGAAGTATAAAGTACATTTTACAGATTATCACGAACCAATACCTAGATTGACTTTTGAAGCTGAGTCATCTGAAAAAGCCGACAAGTTCCTGTTCAAGTAGCTGTATGAGTGCTAGTGAAGGTATGACTAATGACGTTTCTAACCATATGACGAAATTCAGAGCGAAAAACACCCATCTGTATTCTCTTTGATACTATCATTAAGTTATTTTGGTTGTAAAACGTCAGTTTTATAATGCATCAATGGAGATAGCTTTCCTTTAAATCTGGAATTACTAAGCTTAAGATATTCCATAACTCCATGTATTTGATTATGAATACTTTTGCTTATAGTAAGTATCTGTTGGAACACAATAAAAGTAATTTGGAGATGCCGCAGCGCATGCATAAACGCAACAAATTGTTAGTAATTGGAGGAAGTTAAGTTATAGTACCGATTCTTATTAAGGGGACCCCTTTACATTCAATGTTTTGCCAGTTCTGAGACTGGTTAGAAATAGCGATATGATTACGGCACAATGTGGTGTCGTGTTGTGAAATGTAGCTGTGTTGGACAAGTATCTGGTCAGAGGTGACAAGAGTCAGTGGCTTGACAGTTTTTCCGCACATTACTCAGGATCAGGACCAATGATAATTAAGGTGTAGCTCCTCATTTCTTCTGTTATTGGAAATCAGAGCCAGAATAGCGAACACTTGTGTGAATGAAGCTTTGGAACTTTATAAACAGCATAAAGAAGTAGATCGCTTCTTTTATACGAATAAATATCAAAGGACAAGTAAACTGTCCAGCAGTTCACTCTGTCCTATCGCATGGGTAGCTTGAACATGTGTTGTGCATGCTAAGCTATGAACTACCTTGATATGAGGAATGTTAACCAAAATAAAACTATGTCAGAAGAAAGCTGGAGGTGATCACAGCAAGGAATAGGGTCAATCCTTCAGTAAACTTTAATGTCATATTTTCGGGATGAAGTTTTGAGTTGTGGTAACTTGGACTGATGCACTGCTGTATCAAGTTCAACGTTGACTTCTCTGCTAGCCTGTTTAGTGCTTCTTTAATAACCGATGTTTTTTTGGCTTTATACTTCTTTTCTCCTCTGTAAAAGATGTTATGTAACTTTATATGATGTATTTCTCGGTTTCCATGCTTTATTACTCTTATGTTGTATTGAAAATACAAATTTAACCAAACCAATATGATTGAAGGCCATACAAATCAAACACAATTATGTGGTTGGTGTTAGAAATATAGTTGTTTTCTAGATTCATTACTGAGTTAAGATAATCCTACTTGAATAGAGTTAAATGCACTCCTCAGTGAAAACAATTATACTGGTTGAGTGATAACAGAAATAGAACGAAGGCGATAAAGATTTTTAAAAACAACCAGTTAACATATGGAACTGCTTACAGGTGTGACGATTCTGTTTTCTTGTATTCTTTCTGTTCAGAATGAAGCTTTTTAATTATATTGTTCGTTTTCAGCTGATCAGCTGCTAATTTATGACCTTCCCTTAATAGATTTTCGATTTCTTCATTTTTTTCTTCAACTAAACGTTCTAATTCATTTGCACGTTTTCTGGTGAAAAAGTTTCAATAACAAATCAAAACCAAAAAAAAATGAATAAATTAGTAAAATGCATCAGGTAGCGTGAAACTAAAAGTAAATAACAGAGTTATACACAATCTTCTTACAGAAAATATATTTACATGTTTCGAATAGAGCATTGTATAACTTAATAAACAAATTCAACATTGTAAAAACTTACTCTTTAATAAGCTATCTTTTAAATCAAAATTACTACAGTGTGTTGATTATTTTGGATAATGGCTAACTCTTCAGTTGTTACGAAAGGATCTCAAATCAAAACTATCGGTCACTTCAGAAAAAAAATAACTCATAGACAAATGAACGCGAAAAAAACTCGCAGAGAAGTGAGTCATTTTAAGTTGATACACTTTATAATAGCGCGCAAAGAATAAGCGTATAAAGAAAGAGTGCTATTAAATTAGAGAGAAGTGTATGCGATGAGGGAGAATAAATATACGAACTTTGGTGAAAACGTCCAAAATTCCGAGCATATCGAATATATATCTGTAGTAAATCTTTATGCCATTGTGATCGATTTCCAACCAAATCACGAAGTCTCCAACCAATGACTTCTGTTATCTAGAGCACCTAGGCCAGGTAGTGTACATCTCCCAATATGGCTCAGACCAACAGTAAGAGATTTCATGGACTGGTGGCATGGTTTAGTCTGGCTTTCTGTAGCCTTCTTTCAACCCCGTGCTGCTTAGACTAACACTGAGCACCGAGTTATGGTATTAGCACAGTATGTGTAACTTATATCTAAGGCACCTCAGACGGTGGTGGTTTACAACCTTATCGACCGACCTATCTTCCTCGCCTAGTACTCTCGCGTAACCTCCAAATTGCTTGCACGGTGATTTTACCACATGAAACCAGTGACACGCAGACATTTGTGGTGCGACACTTGTAATCTCTTGATATCTGGACTAGACGATCCTTCTGGGAGTGAGTCAAACACTGTGAAGTCGGAGGTACCTACGGTTATGCATATTAGCATGTCTATGACAAACCTATACATGAAAGTGAACAACAGGCACTTCTATACATACTGCATCAATAAAACGGTCAATTTCATAGGACTAATGGTTAACGAACAATTAGTGTTCTAAGCACTAAGCTACATAGTTGCTATAGCGTTGAAATGTTGAAATAATGTTTAACAGGCAACCGGTTTAACAACTGGGTTAAAGCTTAATTGAAATAGGAGTCTATCACAAACGATTACACGGCTACCCTTCAGTTCACCAAATAGGTTGTTTTTCAAGCATTTCTTAAGTGTCAGCATCCAGTCATAGAGAACAATGCTTAAAATAACACCATAATATAATTCATTTATATTGGCGAAAACAACTTACAAATCATTATTTACATAAGGTTTACCACTGCCTACAGAGCGTGTAACAACTGGGACCTTTTGTTTTGCCGAAAGCAAGCTTCTTTTCAATTGGTCTCGTTCACGACAAACAAGTTGTAATCGATTTTCTGCATCAGCCAAGCGCTGAGAAACTCTGAGGTAAGGTTAGATAAATCACTGAGCCAGACTCTAGTTCTGTTGTTTTCAACTTTCTATAAAAAAAAGTAAAACAATTTATATTAGAAAGTAGACATAGTAAAATGTGATAGGTAATTAATTACAACTAAAGTAAGCAAAGTCTATAACTATTGAACTACGAAAACAAGTGAAGGGTAAAAATTGATGCAGTAGGTAACATAAGCGAAGGCAAAGAGACAAATTACTTGAACACATTGTGGTCTACACAACCGTCATTCAAAAATATAAGATTAGGGTGCATGACCAGCAAACAAAGATAGAAAGTGCTTTAATTATGATTTTTTGACTTATCCGTTTCACACGAAAAACAAATCAGTTGAGGGAAATCCATTTAAACGAATTTAATTTCAAAAGCTTTACAATCGTATATATATATATATATATATATATATATATATATATATATATATATATATATATATATATATATCAACATCCTTGGTGATGAAATATTCACGACAAAATATCGAAGCTAAGACAACACCAAATCACCCTCAACCTCATCCTGAGCTACAAATCTTTTTCATCATTCCCTACAAGGAGTATCCAATACATACACACAGACAAAGGCGACTTGTCGGTACATGCCGAGCACAATAATGCACATATTTTATTGTTCTTACTGACAATAGCCTACCATATCACGTTTTTTTGTTGGACATATCACTCCGTTAACGATAAACTCTGTCTAAAGTGTGGTCCCGTAAATAATACTGTTTCATTGTGATCTACTTGACAAACATAAAAACGTGGAATTGACATAATGATTTATTGCTTCTCGTATGTGTTCACAGCCTCTGCCTTCACGTGGTGAGGGTGTTTCAACAGATGTGAAAGGTCGCAAGCTATTGTCCAACGCTTATCACCAAGGTTGATGGATAGTGAGAGTCCTCCTAGAAGAGTTGGAAAACCCTGATTCCAACCAACGGTGCTCGCGCGCTCCAGGTTCCAGGTGGAACGAATGGCGTACGAACCTATTCTGGTCACCGGAAACTATGGGAATGAAGCTCCTGGTGTTGCTCCACTACCTTGTGGACTAAACTTTAAGACAAAAGTACAGGGAGTGGCCCCCTAAAACAACTACCTGATCCGATCCAAGCCCCCGAGAAGTATCTCATCCCTCACAAAAAACATGAAATCACAATATACACTAAAGATTTTGAAGCGCTCGCCTAACTTTTCTGCAAGTATCCAAGCCATCCTCACCACGAATACTATAGTCAATTGTTCACCTTGTTGTTAGTATATTGTTTTTGTTGTTTTTAAATATGAACTGTATTTTTTTATGATTACCATTTTCGCTCTTATCTATATCTTTACTTCACTCAGCTGCTCTCCATTGCTTAGACTTCTGGTCTGTCTGTACCGTTTTGAGTTGCTAAACAGTTGACCCCATATGGCTGTCCTCCAGTGCGACGTCTGATATGCTTGTCCTGAAACCACGCATACCGTTTAAGCTCGCCACCTTCAACGTTTGCACCTTTATGCAGATCGGACAACAGGTGGGTTTGGCTAGGACTCTGGGAAGCCTCGTCATTGATGTGTACTGTATCTCAGAGACCCGCATACAAAATCCCAATAAAGTGCTTCGAATCAGTTCCTCATCTGTCAGCTCAAAAAGTACGTTTCATGTGCGCTTATCCAAGGACCCTGCGGCATCGGCAACCGGCGTCGCTGGTACCGATGTCGCACTAAGTGCCCCAGCCAAAGCTCCAATACTTGACTGGATCCCTATTAGCATTCACCTGTGGGTTGTTAGGCTAGACGGTTCATCTCGAGTAAGAAGTAACGGGCAGGAAGAACGATATCTCTTTTTTATCTCTGCCTATGCTCAAACGGATTGCAACTCCAGACGCAACTAAGAATGAATTCTATCATCAACTGAGTGACCTTCTCAACCGAATGTGCTTGAGAGATATCGTAGTGTCAACTGGGGACTTGAATGCACAGGTCAGGCGTCCAGACACAGGAAAATCGTTTAGGTGGCCAGTGGGGACTAGATGGCCGCAGGTTAGATAATGGGGATCACAACCTATTTCTAACCAGCACCAACTTCCGGCACAGCAACGCCGTTATGCTATTTAGCATTCTCCCTCTGCCACTTAGGCTTGGACAGAAGATCATATTTCAACCAGCTACCGATGGCGTGGGTGCATACAGGACTGCCCTCCTAATGAAGTACTTGTCTGGTCACGCTTTTATGTGCCCTAAGGTCGTCTTGTGTTTTGGCGGTCATCAAAATCATCATCCTAAAGAGATCAGCGCAAGCAAATTAGTTGTGCCTAACATTGCAGCTAAACAGCAATCCGACCAAGATTTAAGGCTAGCTACTGATCCTCATGAAAGTGTAGACGAGCATTGGTTGCACTTGCAAGAAGTCATGAAATGGCGAGTAAAGCCGCTTGTGGCTTGGAGGAACGTTCGTCTAATAAACATTGGGTCTCACTCTGCAAGCTCACTGCAACTTCTTGATGCCAGTCGGACCATCCCGGTGGATAGCGAGTATAATGGTTTGCGTAAGTCTCTTGAGCAAAAGACTATACAACGCTTAGGCTTATGATCGTGAGGCTTAATGGTCAGAACGCGCGAGTGAGATGGGAGCAGCAGCTGCATCTGGCGATAGTCGGAAGCTGTTCTAGCTCATCCAAGCCACTGGGAGCAAGAAGCCCGGTGTCAGTGAGATGGTCTGTGAGGCAGATGGTACGGCGATAAACAATCTTCAAAGAAGCCTAGAATGCTGAGCGTAGCACTTCGAAAGGCAGTTTAGCTGGCCTACGGCATCAACATTGTCAGCTTCAGTGCATCGTGCTCCATAGTCAGTTAACACTGACCCACCTAACGAAGCGGAGTTCCGTAAGGAACTCCAAAACCTGAAATCCCACAAAACACCCAGCCTAAACAACTTACCCCCGACTCATTTTAAAAATGGGGGAAACACTCTAGTTATGGAACTGACTACAGCGTCTCAAAAGGTATGACAGATTGAGAGTGTTCCATCACTCTGAAATGAAGCCATCTTTGTGCCCATCTTTACAAAGAGTCTACATAATGTATATGAGAATCATCGGGGTATTAGTCTGTTACCAGTGGCGTCAAAACGTGTGTGAAAATGATTTTCGAGGAGCAGTCAGGGTTTCGTTCAGGTCGTGGATGAGTTGATTATGTGGTTGCCCTCCGCCAGATGCCTGAACATCGCCATATGTATTGCAAGCCAACAATCGTTGCGTTTCTTGACATTACGGTTGCCTTCGATTCGTTGGACAGAGCTGTACTCTGGAATTGTCTGCTGTAGAAGGACATGCCTGAGAAATTTATTCACGTCATGAAAGCCCTAAATAACAACACCTTAAGTGGAGTGAGGGCATAAAACCATCTGTCTTCATTTTTCCAAACCAGTAGTCGGGTTAGACAAGGTTGTCTGACTTCTTCATTCCTCTTTAACTTTGCCATCGATAACCTTCTTGAGACAGTTCTGAAGGAGGTGCGTGATCTACAACCCGTAGAACGGTTAGTCGACATTGGATATGCGGAGGACATCGTCTTACTGTGCGACAACACACAGGCTATTCAAATCGCACCTAATCAGTTAGCGGTTAGTATCCGTAGGTATGGCATCTGCTTTGCACTATCGAAGTGCAAAGTATTTTTGTAAGATCGGCAGAAGTCTCTTTCTGCACTCACCCTTGCTGGTGAACCGTTGAAAGTAATCAAAAATTTGTGTATCTGGGCGATTGTGTGACTCCGGGTGGAGGTGTGTGATGAAATTCCCAACTCCATATCGAAAGCCAGAGTGGCATACCCCAATCTCAGGCACCTTTTGGCCCCATTGCGACATTAATCTGACCACAAAGGGTCAGGTTTACAAAGTTTCGGTGAGGGCAGTTCTGCTCTGCGCTAGTAAAAACTGGCCTCTCCTAGCTGAGGATGTGCGACGACTCTATGTTCGATCACCGTTGTCCCTGCAGAACTGCTCGTATCCGGTGACAGTAACATGTAAATAATTCTGAGGTATGACAGCGTGTGTTCGGGTATGACGAAGATCGTCATTCAATAAGTGAAGTCACCTGAAAACATCGGCTTCAGTGGCTTGGACATGTGTTACGCATGTCGTCCCAACAGCTTTCATACCTGAGACTGGATGGAAGAAGCCGAGGGATGGTCAGTGTATGATGTGGCGCTGTGTGATGAAGAATAGTTGTATCGAGTTAGCATTTGTTGGTGCATTACGACTCCTGGGTGGGGTATGAGAGATCATGTAACTCAGTGGCTTGAAACACTATCAGATATGGCTCAGAATAGAAACCAGTGGCGGCCATGCTGTAGCTTCTTTCCATCTTCTGCTGCTGAAGAAAAATGAATGGTTTGCTTTGAATGTATCTTAATGAATTACCATTCTAAGCATAATATTTTATTGTCTTCCTTTCTTAATTATCCGCTTCCCATTGTTATACTATTTTGTATGGCACATTTCTTGGCGTCCTTGCTGTATCGTGTTTGTGTTCTAACAATAATAATAATAATAATGATAATAACGCATCTCGTAGTTGATTAGTCTAGATGGAATTGATCAACCACGACTGGTATATGGCGTCATGCACGGATGTCTAGAAATGACCGAAAATTTAATTTAGATAGTTAAGATGAGCAGCAGCAACTGAGTTACAATGGCCATTCTTCGATGAATAAGGCTACTGTGAGTCAATAACTTAGTGAATAATGCTATGTTGTTTGAGGTAATAGGTGGTGGTTTCGGGTCTCAGTGGGAACATCATCACTAACTGCAAAGTAGGTACATCCAGATACAGCTCCTAAATTGAACGAAAAGCGCGTCTTAGATTACGCTGCTAGTCACTATCGATCATCGTAACTATACAACATGAAATAATGCAGTGCCTTACACTTCTCAGTTTCCATTATTGTCCTGTGTCTGAAAACAACAATAAGGTAAAAAGTTGTTGAGAGTAAAAAACCAAGAATTATTAAAATTAAAATTAGCATACTCTTGAAGTGTAGTGACAGAATTCTGTAGTACATTATTCTCATGACTAAGCTGCATAATCTTTGCCTCACGAACATTCAACAAATGCTTGATGTCGGAGAATTTCTATAAAGTAAAAGAAATTACTATTAAAAGGATGTCAAAAAAAGGGCATATTATATTCTCAATCTCGAATCAATGTAAACTGCTCAAAACAATATTGGACAGAGTACAGCAATGATAAGTATATGTGGTTTACAAAAAGATGAAAGTTCTTTCTTGGACAGTTTGCTACTGACTCTCAATTCACATAAAGTGAAAGGAGAAAACAGGTGCTAAACTGACGAACGACATTTTCCAGATAATATCAATGGTGAGCAGCTCACTTAAAAAGCGACTTCTTATTGACAATATCATATATCCAACCAGTGATCTAAGTTCGCAAAGAGAACGCGACCAAGTGATGTCGAAAAAAAGTGACTTATTTTCCCCAAAACTGCTGTGGGTTTAGAAAACTATCAAATTATACTTGATTCTTACGTAAACTGTGGTAATGTAGCGAATTGTTTAAAATAATATTAAGATCGGCAGTTGTGTGACAACTAGTATTGCACAGACCAAAGTTTATGAAATCAGAATGATTATATTTATCGATGGCTTATAATCACTTTCCGCGCTCCAATAGTTTGCCTAGTTGCAACTAACAGGTTAGCAAGATAACTACATCTCAGTTGATTGTGAGGAGACATGGAGCGCATAAAAACATCTACAAAATCCATAACCCTGAATATCGGGAATATTTATTTCACACAACAAGGATATCCATCGTATACATCAGACAACTCTAACAATCGATTAAGAGTGTTGAAGAAAATACGCTGAATTTTCTGGGTGTGCCGATGACGAAAGTTTTAAGCAGACTGCAACATTACCCCCCTGTAGTGATGGAGATACCGGTTGCGTAGAAAAAGCATACAAATACAGACACTACATCCCATGAAAAATTGAATAGTCAGCAAAAGATATCAACCTAATAGAAGATGATAAACATCCAGACCATAGTTGTTAAGAATGTCCTGGAAGAAGTTGAGCGCCGAGTTTGATTGAATCATTATAAGAATATATTTCAATATAATCCCAGCGTGTTTAGAAAATCAAAACAAGATATTTCTGAACGTTTGCTGTGTAAGCCACAGCTTCTTCGGCAGAATATAAGGATTTTTATTAACATCTATAGATGTTTCTGGAGTTTTCAGGTGATCGCCTGCTTCATTCAGTTTCTTGTAATATGAGGTGGAAAACCGTTTATATGCATGAACTATTAATAGCAGTACCATAACCTAATCATGTGCAGATACAACGCGCTAGCGCCACCAACTATACCTAGTAAACACAGTGAAGAGTAGTTACGATTATATCGTTTCAGGCATTCGTCCAATGGATCCTAGGTTGAAACCCTATCTCTTACATACAGAAGTGATTGCAATGCAGAAAAACGTAAGATTAAAAAACCCATGTTAAATAAACAAAGCCTATTCTATACAGCTGACAATGAACATATTAAAAGATGAGTAGTGATCACAAGTTCTACTGACCTTAGCAAGATGATGATATGCAAACGTTAAGTCATCATCGGTTGTATTTCGCAAACCTTTAAGGATAAAAATCAACAGAAGTAAATCTTTTTCACATGTTTAATGGATTGATTTTTTTTTATAGAAATCAGTAAATGAACCAGAACTCCAAAGTAAAAATCACTAATTGATAAGAAAAGACCAATAAAACCACATTTCATTTACATATGAATCCTTTCTTGCTACAGAGCAAAACCTATAGAATAAGTCTCAAAATCTACATAACAGCCTTAAATGGTAAGAAATACTCCATAAACGTTAGCTTCCAAGCAAAGTTTTGATGCTTAACTGAGAAGTATAGTGATGTTGCTCAGGCCAAAGCAAGCAGAATAGTGTTCAACTTAAGAAAAAACAGTTTATTGTTCAAAAAAAACGGCATACATCATAAATCATGTTTTCCAATTCTCAAAAATATTTTCACGAAAGTAACCCTTAGTCTCAACTTTACATCTTGGATTCTTAAAAAAGCTGGTAAGGGCTGAAAAATATAACAGCCAATAGTTATACTCGAAATTTCTTTCAAAGTTTTGTTTCTGAGTACTTTTCTCATCTAACAGGATGATTCCCGTGCAGCCCCAGTGTAGCAACGTGAAATTACAAGTACCAATAAACAACAACTGATACCCATTACACAAATGGTGGCTCTCTTGTCCCCAATAGATAACGCTTTAGCGTTTGAAGTGATGGGTACTGGGTCCCAGTCTCAGTGAGAACAATATCATCCACTTGGACGCAGGTACATCCCCAGCTGATGAGTCCCTAATATGACGAAATGCACGCCCTGGATGCCGTGCTTAGCCATCAAATAGACTACAATAAGATGAGTCCCTAATGGGTAAATGCTATGAGAAAGTGTATTTGTTAGTGGATATGCTGACTGCTATTCTACGTTTAATAGTTGTAACGAAAAAATCTACGTACCTTCGGAGACGACAATTTACACAAGGTAAAATTAGTCTCTCAAAATTGAATATTGGAAGATGATTTCATGGGTAAGTGACTACCAAATACCCTGATAGGAAGTATAACGTTTGCTTCTCGACAAAATGGTCTTTGCAAAATATGCGCGATTAAAAGTCAGTCTAAAAAATCAACAACAGTAAACCAATATTGATCAGCTGTTGACTAACCCATCCGTTTAGCCTCAAACTGGCTTAATTTGTTAGCACCGAATTGCCTACACAAGAAAAACGGTAGATCATTGCACAACAACGTCAATAGACATCTGACACCTCTGAAACTTGCTACATGTGCTTCTAGATCCTTTAAGATCTATTCTGACATAAAACAAGGTGAACGAAATCTCATTTGAACTGATTTTCGCATACTGACAGCTACTATTTGATGTGGTGGTCGAGGTTGTATATCACAATGAAAAGAGTTATGTTGGTTGGAAGGATTTTTCCATGGGTCCTACTTTGCCGAAAATTTCTGTGAGGAAGTGGTGAGACGAGAAATAGTGGCGGTGTAAAAGATACGATATGACGAGGATCCAAGGGCGAAGTCGTACTGCTGACTGGACGCTATGTAACAGAAGTAAAACGTTTCCGCAAATCTCAAGTACAGTACCATATTGACTCTGTCCTGCTTACGGGAAGAGGCTATTAGAAAAGGTCAACCTTAGAAATAGCATAATCTTCCCTGCTTTGAAGCCTTTAGGTATCAGGGGTATGAATTTCACAGTTGGGTTTACTACAATGAAATCTAAATTTGAAACTTTGGGAAAGACTGTATGTGGACGGATTTAGGCAGATATCCTTTGAGCTTTACGGTTACGCAAGACCAATCCACTCCCTTCTACAGGTACCTGAGAATTAAATAACTTTTGACCGTGAATGTAACCAAGAAGTACCAACAGTTTACCCGCTCCCAATAGTAAATAAATTACAGCTAACTGTAACCTATCTTCCTAAACTTCGTGTTTTTGTTTGCCTCCCACTACATATTCCAACACTGAGCCAATTAATTTCTTCAAATCATCCAGCAACCGTTGTTAACGATACAAGTCAGAAAAAACACCATCCAAATCTCCTAAAACCACACTGTCCATTTTGCATTACTATCTTCAACTTCAGAACCCTGTGCAAATTCGACAACAGATTCAACTCGCCAGAACTACTAAACTTCTCAATCTAGATGGGTGCAGTGTTTCTGAAGTACGCACATTAAACGCAGGTGTGATTATTCACTTAACCCCAGTGATCAGAGTGCCTAACACCGGCAAAATTCACTTTTATTTGTCATGAGATGAGACTAGCCGTCGTGGACTCACCTGTGTGCGTATGACATTATTTTACAGAGCGAAAAGCATACTAGAAATGGTAAATTTTTAGCTGGGGAAGACAATGATCTTACTTTGATGTTGTCTATACTTTAAAGTTTGTTTTTGGACATCTTACTGCCGGGCGATGCAACTTTATCAGCATTTATAAAGAAAGCATACTTCCGGACTGAATGCCCCTAAATAGTTATCTATAAATCTTCCAAAATGAGAAGCACTGTGAAAATCTTCAACGCCTAGTTATGATCTCAACCTAAGCATCCAATCAGTTCAATCTGAATGATGCACAACAAAACGTCCAGATAAAGTCATAGTAAGGAGCGACTTTAATGATCAAACAGAAAAAACTGGACAAACAAGAGGTATTCTGGTGGGAACTAAAATGTTTAACGCAGATGGACCGATAACGGTGATAGTTTCCCAGTGTTATCATCCGACAATCAAATGTTACTAGCCAGCATTAACTTTAGAGACAAGAGGCATTGTCCAAATAGAGTTCCTCGACATTAAGTAATTGGCGGACACAGATAAATCATATTATACATCGATAAAGTTAGGCAGAGGATTGCTGTACATTTTGTAATAAGCACATCGATTTCGACCATACGCCAGGGCGAACACATGTGTGTGCCTTAACTGATGCAGCAAAAACACATTAGTGAACTGACTGACTGACAGAATCAACATAGAATCTCATACACAGGTCCATCGGCTCAAGTTGCCACACTTCACATTAGTATACAAAGAACAGATGGATAGGGAAAGAATGATATCAAAGACAAAGTTGTGTGAGAGAATAAATAATCTGAGACAAAGGTTAGTGCGAATATTCAAGCTTCAGATGTCAAGGAGTGAATATGTATCTGAGCCATTGGGACCGACTTTCAGCCATGTCACTAAGAATCCTCAACCACTGATTCTTTTCGTCTGGAGGACCGCAACCAGGCTGTGTAAATTTTCCCACATGGCTCAGGCAAACAGTAAGAGACTTCATGAACTGGCGTCACGTCTCAGTCGGGCGACCCGGAAAACTCTTCCAATCTAATCCAGCCTCCCTTAGCATGGTACGTCGACGAAGGCGGTGGCTCGGGATGCACAGTACATGTCCTAGCCATTTCAGTCGACATAGGTTCACAATCTCGTCAATCGACTTGCCTAGTACCCTTCGCCTGACAACATTGCTCATATGGTGATTCCACCACACGCTAGCAATACTACGAAGACATTAGTGATCAAAAGCCTGTAAACGCCTCAGGTCTTTCTTTCAACAGCCATGTCTCACAGTCATACAACAAGACAGAACGGGCTGTAGTGCAGTACACTCGTTCTCTGACATATAGTCGGATATCGAGCCAGTAGGCGCTACAGATAACGCAAGTTGGCAATTGCCACGTGAACCTGCTGCATCGGAGCTGGGACTTTGTCAACAACCAGACCATTTCAGCTGATGCAACTCTCCAAGTAAGTGAAGTAGTCGACAAATCCCAACACTTCACTCATTATCATTAAAGAGGGAGTCCTTGCAACAGACCAGTCCTGGAGCATCATCTTACATTTGACAGGTGTGAGATGCACGCCAAACATACTCAGATTTCTGCTCAAAGCGTTTACACAACCATGCGTTTTGTCAGCGACTTCACCTAACAGGACAATATTGTCTGCATACTCCAAGTCAATCAGATGACCACCAGGCAATAGATACCCCTGTAAAATCAGACGTATCTAAGGTTATGTCCATTAGTACGTGTAGGACGAAGTTAAATTGAAATGATGACAGCAGACATCCTTAAAGGATACAACTAGTTATCTTCAATTCGCATGACAAGTATCCATTAGCCCTGACACGGCTGCATCAGTTCCAGTAGACAGTTTCCATTAACGTTATGTAGTTGCATTGTACTCCCTTCACAATCAGACACTGCCACAACACCTCACGGTCGACTGGGTCAAATCCCGCCTTCATGTCAAGAAATACGGTAAGTGTTCACCGCTGGCAGGTATGCCTGTGTTCCAGTATTTGTTGGAGGGCGAAAATACGATCAATGTACCCTCAAAAGGTGTGACACCTGCCTGAACAGTCCTTTAAAGTGTTCTGCCCAAAGTTCTAGTTGCCTCTACTTGGAGGTTATATGTATCCCATCCTTTTCGGTGATGGCTTCACAGACCGTCGTCTTCTTCTCGTTATCTTTAATAAGCCTAACTGGTTGGCAAGTATTACCCAACACTGATTCCTTCTCCATCTCTCCCGCTTTCGCCACCAACCGCTGCTCGTCATCATTTCGAAGACTCTTGATCAACTTCGGTTTAGATTGATTTCGCTCTTAGTTAGAAACAGCCAGCTGGAACCAGTTTTCTCGCATCAATCATCTCGGATGACGTTGAGGAAATCCAACGACTTTTGATAAACTTCGGATGTAGATTACCAGCTAACTTACTTTACTGTTGTCTCTTCAACAGACTTAACATTACGCAATGGTTCCTCACGATCAGCATTGCTATCACGTTCAAACAGATGTTCAGCTAGCCCCTCTCTAAATACATACTTGGTGTCCTCATCTACCAGTCACGAATAAACACGTTTTACTATCTTCTGTTTCCTGAGACACGTGAAGCGCATCCAAATGTGACCCCGTACTACCGCGTTATCGGGGTCCAAACTGGTACTCCATATAGAACGGTGATCCTCCACTGATCCTCTACAACGATGGCTCATAACAATATGATCTATCCATGTCCATCCTTACTTTGTTGTCGGCGAACGCCATGTGAGACACTCTCTCTCTCTCTCATCAGACTCGAAATTAGTGCTGGTCAGAAAAAATTGAGTGTCAGAACAAAATTGAGACAGACGATCACCCTTATTAATTCGTTGGCATGGGACTCCGTAAATATCTCCAACATACCTTTATGATTGGCTCAGCTCACTTCTCTACTTCAGTGTTGAAGTCAACTCCCATCCATTATGACCACATCTAAACCTTTCGCTTTCCGTAGCAAACTTGACAGCTTCTCATAGAATCCACCCTTTTCATCATCTCAACTCCAGTCAGTGGGCGTGTAGGCGAAGATTATAAAGAGGTATCGCCTAGTCTCACAATCCTTCCTAGTCCTTACAGATCCACTCAGTCGAACAGAAAATCGAAGGCTGTTGATTGGTATCCAGTCGAGAAGCGCAATTTCTGCCCTACAACTCAATGCTATGCCCACACTAGCGAGCCAGAGAGAGCCAGTCATTGGGTCTCCAGATACTCTTAGGGTGAAGTTTCAGGATTCACTAGTATAACCAAGTGAAACCAAGTTAATAACTACACCCGTGTCTCAGAAACAAATCATACATCAATGGTTAGAGATTTCTCAGTTTCGGTGAGCGATGTTTGCTGTCCGATTTGACACATAATTTTCACTTTAAAAGCGCCTACATGAAATCGATGGTGGTGTCTTAGGAGACTAGGAATGAGGTTTCGATGGCTTTGATCGTTTGCAACGGTCGCAGACTGAGAGGTTTATGAAGTTGTAAGAGGTTCAATATTGGTATCAAGAGGTGAAGGGAAAGGAGGAGACAAAGGTATAGAGGGTAAATTGTGCTTTACTACACTCTGTATATTATTGGAAGCATGCAGGTGGTTGACACGTCCCCGTTGCCGAAACCGCGAAAGTTGTTTCTGCAACGTATCTGAAAGAAAAAAACATTGGATTTACGAGACGGCCACACCTTATCCAGCTAAAAGCACGACTTCAGCCTCAGACCCCCATCAGAGAGTAGTCATTTACACTACAACGGTAACTGCTGCTTGTCTTACTACTATCCAACAGACGTATCTGACATAGTAGGGCCTCAAGGGAACAAGCGTTCCACCACGATACCTCGTTGAGTCATTGTGATATGCAAGCCCGACCACAATGTTCAGGTAGCAGCTAATGGTCGGGCTTACCATATTAGTGAAGCCCTTTTGTGATCGACTTTAAGATAAGAACACTATGTAAGCAACCAAAGAGGTAGACAGGTATTCACAGGAACACAGAAGTGACTCTTCAATCAATCAATCAATCAATCAATATCAGCATAGGATTAGCGATTACTGCGTAACGGTCCGAGTTGCCACACCTCATATCAGTATATCAAGTAAAAAGGTAGTGAAGTGCAAGATGAAGATAAGAAAATTCAGTCAAAAGAAATATAAAGTACGAAAGAAGAGAGAAAGGAAGAATGAGAAAATGGTGAGACTCAGTATAGCTAGCATCGTTAAGATGAGGATAATGTATGTATACATCTGCACCATTGACATCGGTTCTGAGCCATGTGATTACCTAGTCTCCAACCACTGGTTACTCTTATCCCGCATGACTCCAACCGGCTAGTCTGCATCACCCCATGTAGCTCAAACCAACAGTCAGAGACTTCATACATTGGTGCCATGTTTCAGTCTGGCCACCTCGAGCGTTTTTCCAGCCTGGACCTACTTCAGCCAACATTGTGTGACGAGGCAGTCGGTGACTGGGCATACGTAACACGTGTCCCATCCATTTCAGTCTATGGAGGTTCATAACCTCGTCAACTGATTTACCTCTTCTCCCTAAAACTCTACTCCTGACTTCTGCGTTACTCACGTGGTGACATCACGGAACACGTCCTATAGTACGAAGGCAACGGTGGTCAAAAACTTGAAGCAAACACTTGAAGTGACTCTTACCACCATGAGACCTGGCGTACTACCTGGTTAACTGCAAATAATAACCCAATCAAAAAGTAAGAAAAAGGCAGTCGATTTCTGCAACTTGATTTAAACCAAGTGGTGCCAGATGTATGATCAGTCTGAAAGTGATTTATAAACTGTACAACCCATACCGACAATTCTCAAAGCTGAGGTGTTTTCAAACTGGTCAACTGTAGCGTAATAGGGTTTCCGTAGAGAACCGATGAGCCAAGATCAGACGAAAAGTTCCCAGAAACGAAACAGTCATGAGTTAGCGAAAAATTCTACTAAACGACTTGAATAGCTAGAAACCCTTAGGCAGATCTGCAGATTTTGTCAGCCAGATCAAAGTGATCTGAACGCTGGAGGAACGTAACGCTTGCTTGGAACCAAATTCATCGGCGGTATACTCGGATAACCTCAACTGACAGAGTTAAATTTTCAGCTCAGGCCAAAACTAACGAAACGACAACTCGGTGATTGGATCTTTCCTTTCCAGCTAGCGAAATCTACATATCAGTCTAAGTGGTTTCTAACAATTCAAGTTGTTCAGCAATAAACTTCGTGGTGCAAGAAGATTCACTTCGGCTAACACTAGGCAAAACGAGTAGCGATCGCGACTTTGATTTGATTTAAACTTATTTCCTTTACGGCAAGCAAAGGTGAGTACATACAGCGAAAGAGACGGGAAAGCATTAGTCTTTAAATGAGGAAAAGAGTCATCCAAGTCTACTGAAAAATCAAAAGTGCGCCGGTAGTAGCCAACTGTGAAGATAATACCAAGCAAGTATGTAGTACTAATCATGGCTCTCTACTCGAACATAGCCAGTCCACCAGTCATGCAAGCGCTTGTGAGTTGTCAACTGGAGCAACGAAAATCGGTGGCATCCGCTAAGACTCACCACTGCCACTATCCCTCTCAACTTCGTCGCAGATGTGCTGACAGACATAACTCAATTTTATCTCAAAATGACACCTAATTGGTTTGGACTAGTATACCGTGCTGCAGTTTGCTTTTCCTGCCATACAGCTGTGAGACATGGCTATCGAAAACAGAAAAAATCGCAGTTTTCCTACAACAAGCCTCTTCGTGGCACTGTTCGTATGTGATGAGTGACTATTGAGTTGTAAATTCAAATGTAGGGTAGTAGATAGAAAAGGCATGCCAGTCAACGAAGTTGTGAATATTCACCGACTTCATGTGTCATGGAAATGTGTTGCGCGTGTCCTATCTCTGCTTACCTAAAAGTACAATGATAGACAAAGTAGTGTGCGGTTGCAATAAGGCTAAAGGAAACCAAATCAAGACATAGAAGTACCCAGTAAAATCTTTGGCTGTTTGTATGAGTTCTGTAGGATAGTCCAAAAAACGATATGATTAAATGAAGGCTCGTGGTGATATGGCTTAGGATCAGCCACGATGGTGCGGAAGTTTTAGTACTTTTCTTCACCTCTTTATGTTTTTCGTGTCAAATCTGAAACAAGCTTGTCTGATTAGGAATGATGTCCAGGTTCATATCTTCCCATCAACTGGTTTCCAACATCTAACGCTGAAATGCAATAATGCATCGTGATGTTGCATCACTGAGCTCCATGGTCATACTGGATAGCTTGACTCACAAACTCTCATCAGTACTAAGTACTGGGAACTAGATAGCTCCTTAGTTCACTCCTTGTTAACTAATTTGTATACTTCAGTCAATCTCATAAACTCTTCTCCACCACTATACCAAATGCCTTTGGTATTAGCCTATCATAGCTCAGTGACCTTCATTCAGATTACAGATAGGCTTCTCAAAGTCTGCACGAGGTGGAGATACGGTGTCAATGTTCCACTTACCATACGACTGGACAGCAGACAACCGAAGACCGGACAGTTGAACTGTTTCTCGACGCATTCTGCCAACTGTTCCCGTCATCTTCCATGCAAGTGAGTAGTAGATTCATCCTCCTTCGCTATGGTCTCAGTTTCTGTGGTAAGCCCAAATAACTACCCACTGTTACCTACTGCTGCCACCACTTTTGTTTCATCTTTTCAGCCTTCGCTGAATATAATAAGTACTATAAATGTCCTGGAAAACTCTGATAACTGAGTTAGATCGAATCATTGCAAAAGCACTTTAATAAAATCCCCAAGTGTTTAGAAGACTAAAAGACTTTTCTGAATATTACATTGTGAGCAACAGCTTCTTTAGACAAATTAGATTTTATTATAAAACATGGATAAGTAAAGAAAAACAACAAGAAAATGAAAATGCATATGTATCCTTTTTCCTATCATTCGTTAATATACTTTAGTTCGCCGCTAAATTCAATTTCACTTAAGAAACTGTGGCTAACACAAAGAAACGGTCGGAAAAGTCCTGCATCGGTTCGTTGGCATCAATGTGTTATTATAATTAGTCTGTACATTTCAGTACACAAACGTCTACCTACATGTGCCAAGGATTACAATATTCTTTTGGAGGTTCAATCACTCTGAACAAATACAACATATAGATAGAAGTAAATAGCTTCATCAAAATTTCATATCCGGAAACTGAAGAAATATCAAAATTAAGTGATATCCGTTGAAGAATCATAGGAATTCATGAAACACTGAATAGCGATTCGGTTTTAGTTTGGGTCTTAGTAGAAAATTACCATTCAAATAACGGTTCATGATTTCCAAACTTAAACAATCGTTAATATTATCCAAAGACTATCTATTCTCAACTGTACATCGCAGATTTTCTCTTAGTCATGACAGTATTTAGATGTTGAAGAAGTGGGTGCTTCTACCAAGTGAAATAAAACGCAATTTTGATTGTTAATCAGCTTACCCATAGATAGATCTTGTCCAACACTCATGGATCTACGATGTTCAGGATGACTTGAACTGGAAAATGAGAAGAGTATGTGTAGGTTTTTAGTATAAAATTCAAAACAAAATATAAAGATAGATTAGTACAAGTAATTAATGCTCAGTAAAGTGAGTGAAAACAACATGGAAGATGAGCTTTCTATGTGTGATCACTTACAAACTATAAGTTTCGTTTACGAGCCGACTTGATGAAACTAATCATAAATAACTTCTTTGAAATTTGTCCAAAGTTCAACTGTACTTTGAAGAGGCTTATGGAAAAGGGCTTAAAGTATTTTTATCAGAAATAGCTTATAAGTGTTCTAACTATGCTACAATACAAATGGGGAAATGAATCAGTACATAAGAGTTACCCCATTGACCTTCAAAAGATGAACCACAAGTCCTAAGTCCACTTCCTGCCTATTGCCTTCATCCAACTAAAATCGATCAAAAAGTGGACCGCGATGATGAGCCTCCTAGCTTAGTGCCCATATATATACTCGCGAATTGGTCATTCAATGGCATCTGATTTAGCTATCGGTATCTTTATGTTAAGCATGAACCGAAGTCTATTGATCAAGTTTGCAATATGACCATAAAACTAAGCAACGCGAAACAGTGAAACACTCAATCAGCAGGGTGCACTTTCAATTCTGAAAAAAATCATGTTTACCTTCATGGTTCAAACCAGTGATGTAGTAGCGACACGGATGAGGCATAGTGAAAGAGTTGATTCGGAAAATACAGTGAGCCTTGGTAAGACATGAAAAACTTACATGAAACACAGTTCACGCGAATAGTCTCTGCATTCTACATTAAAGATAAGTTGATCATAAGTTCCTCTTGCTTCTTCAAGTGTCTTCTGGATTCCCTTCTTTTGCTTCTCGTTACCTCCTCCGGAGACCATCCATTTGGTGATAACTGATTGATTTCCCAAAAGGCACCATCCAATATATTACGTGTTCGCATAAGCAGCACAAGCCAGTGTCACTGTGCTGAAATCAGAGACTTCCCCAATAAGCAATTAGGGTCAAATCAACACCACAATCCAATTCCGGCACTTCCAACCAATTGATTATGAACATCTAACATATAAATATAGTGTACCCCAAAATTAGTTGATGAGGTTGCGAACTTTCGTTGACTTGGATGACTGGGACATGTGTTATTCACGCATAATCACTGTCTGCTCTATCATACAATGTTGGCAGATATAGGTTCGAAACGGAAAAAGGTTAAGGGCTAACGGACTAAAACATAGCATCAGTCCCTGAAATTTTTGACTGTTGGTCTGAGGCGTGCAGAGGAACGTGTACGTCCTGGTTGGAGTCCATATAACATCGGAAACCTATGGCTGGAGACTCTAGGTGATATGGATGAGACTGGATCTCGATGGCGCAGATGTATTCACACATTATCTTCATCTTACGCACAACAATAAATTTCCTAGTGTCTCATTCCTTCTTGTTTTCCTTTCACGACTTTCTATAACCTTTGAATGCTTTCTTATTGACCTCACATGACGTGGTGATATGAGGTGTCGCACTTTAGACCGTTGTGGAGTAATGCCAGGTCCCATGATAATATTGACTAACCACTGCATCCCTGTTCCGGTTACTTAGCTGATCAACAATCTTCGAGAAGTGCTGAACACCTAGGACTTGATAGCTGGAATAGTTACTATCCGGTGACCAATTCGTGTAAATGCTCAATTCCTACAGGGCATCACTCGTAACCTGAACAGAGTTTGACCTTAATACTGAAAGATTCCAGTTCAAATCTCTAAAAAATGATAAAGTTCTGTAAAATTGAAGATATCCTTGCTGTTCAGTCCCAACATGCACGAAAACTGAATCCAAACTTTCCTGTTAATTGACCTCTAAAAGATGAAAATACAGAGCAGTGCAATATCTATTATTTGGCACAGAGAACCCTGCATAATGCTAATCGACGGTCTCTTAGGGGTCCATCAACTTAAAATTTACTCTCATGTTCACTCTAGCATTGCAACCGATTTCATTGGGATGATATCAAAGTCAGTAACTTAATGTTTACCTCAGCTATCAACTTTCGAGCAAAGTTTACTGTTTAGGAAGCACAGTCAGATTGATCAATTTGATAATTCGTTATCTAAGAGTACTACTACAATCTCTACTTTGTCCTCAATAACTTAATTTTTTCACTTTAAAACTACTCGACTGCTACCAGCTTGTCTTTATTCTTTGCCACTTTTCAGGCTGGTGAGGTGTCTGATTTAAAACAGCATACTTTTTAGGGGTCTTATGTTGTTTCTGTGCATTTCATAGTTCGAGATAATCTAGCCGTCAATGAGTTCTTCGTTACACGAGTACAGTCAAGAGTCACTCATGCACAACAAAGATAATGAGTAAGTCTGTTAAAACACTACATAACTCCAAACTCACCACTTGCTTAAAGCAACTGGAGCACTAAATCCCCTAAGAGAATGCTTTTTTGGTGAAAATGGATGTCGACTGAATGCACTCAAGTTCACTTCACCAACCGACCGCGTCACAATAGGCATATTAGAGGAAATCAGACTATGGACTTCACCACCATTTGTAGAATTGGAGCAAGAAATTACTTCAATATCCGATCCTGTTGTATTTGTATCGAAGTCTTCATCCATACACACTGGTTGTGTAGTAAGTGATAGTTCTTTGATAGGTAGAGTATTTTGTACGGGAGCTATGTCTTCATCTGAGACTGATTTGGGACTTGAATGGAAACTCTCTTCAACTGATGGAATACGTGAATTCACATTGACAACTGATTTTATCGTAATGTAGTCTGAAGAAATTGTCATCGGCGAGAGATCTAAATTGTGTTCAAATGAAGCTTGTTGATTTTGTTCATCAACACTAGGACAGGCTTTTATAGTCATAGAGACGGTTTCCGACTGTGGAGAGTAGACTTGTTTTGAATCTGAAACCTAAGAAATACATAAGATGATATTACTCAATGTTTAAAAGCTGATTTTTTAAATGTGAAAATCATTAAGAATGTTATCCTCAGGATGATACATACATGCCCAGTGACGTAGTACTTTTCCCCCTTATTGTTTTAAAACAAAATCCTTCCCATTTCTAGAACGCACCTTTAGAAATATAAATCAAATCATATGTGAGAAAATACATCAAGTAGTTATTTTTTCTGCAAACGATCCGGTTACTTAGGGTCAAACAGTTTCCACTCATATGAGTACAACTGTGTTATGTACTTAGTAGTTTCGTTATTGCAGAAGTGGGAAACCCTACATCTATTTATGAGTTGACTTTAAATGAAAAATTGATGAATTACAACTTGGAAGTTTATTCAAATTTTATACCAGTGTTACTGTTTTCACGTCTGTAGATAATGTTACCATGCGCTTCGATTATTACTGTAAATAATTCGAGTATTTATAGCTTAATGGCAATGAAGAAAAATGTCATTCATAGAGACAGAAATGAGAATAATACCGAATTAAGAGTAGATGGGGAACCAGCGTGAAATAGTTCATAAGTTCACTTAAATTCAAGTTTACATTCGACTATTACAGTTCCAATCTTTTCCGTCATGAAAGAAGTTGAACCCAATCAGAATTTCGATTCAATTCACTAAAATTTTGAAGGAAGGAGATTATAGCAGCCATTGTCAATTAATTATCTCATATTATTTTTTGGAGGAGGGAAACTCATTCAAGTGATGAGATTATGGTTTAACGACTGGACATACATCGCCAGTGGGCTTGACTAAGTCACTTCATTGGAACACTAAATTTAGTTTAATGTACATATGTGTCATATTATTTTCACTGGCTATCCTGAATATATGCTACAATGGATCAACACCATATTCGTACTTGTTGCCTTTTTAAATGTCACTATGAGCACGCTATTATAAGTAAAGGTACTGATTGTGATTAATTCTGACTGAAATGTTTTTAATAAGTATTTGAAGTTGCATAGAACTTCTGGTTTATGTGAATGCACAAATTACAATCATTCTTCTTTCTGCGTAGGTCTTAGAATTCTAGTCCTAGTTAGTACGAAATATGAATTAAAATTGCAATACAACATAATTCTACATTTCTAAAAAATAGCACAGTTTGAATAGAATTTCACCACACTTTCAAGTAAGATTAACTCAATCCCGAATATACTTCCATGTACAAAGTTTTAAGTCAAACTTACTACAGGTTACCCAGGCAGAAGTATGTGGAACGAGATTCGAAAGTCAAATGCTCGAAACAATGAGGCACATCTACGCAAACTTATACGCATTCAACAGTTTTTTTTTGTATTTGAATAGCGATTTCTTTACAGAAATGCAGCGCACCAGTTATTAGATTCAACAAACAGGAAAACTGTCAAAGAAAGCGGATCGTATGAGTGCTTTAAAATGCTACTAATCATATCCAGTTGAGGTGGAGCCAAAAAAACCATACCCCTCAGTGGCAGTGAGTTTTAAAAAGAGGTAGGTGGTAGAACTGAAAGATATGAAAGTGTAACCTCAAGCGAATTTTCAGGATTTTATCAGGTCTCATCACTGATGTCAATATCAGAAAGACGTTGATCAGTGAAACCATGCCGAAAAAAATACTTCCTATAAACCTCTCAGAAATAACGGCTAAGAACTGAGAGTCAAACACTTCAAAGAGACGTTCAAATAAACTTCAGTCATACATCAATTGCCACACATCCACCCAAAACCTGAATCGGACCTGGATATCCGTCAGCCAACTCTATTCAAACATCACTACGATCCCGGAAAACTCTCACTCACTGGTTTAGGCAGTCGACTCTCACCTAATGAGCAACGCCTTCCAACCGAACACCACCCACAGAAGGTTAGCCAGTCACCTAGTAGTATCACAAGCCGTTGGCTCATTACCAACTGCATGAAGGTTCACAAATTGTTCACTAAGTTTCGATTTCCAACTCCATTCACTTCCAACATGACACGAGGAAAACCAGAAGAACCTGATGACTCACAATCTGAGCTTGTAAGAATGAAAGGGGAATATTATTAGTCAGATTGAGTGAAGAACTGGCCAGTGTATAGGAATCAGGGGTAATCACATCAAACTGGTCTAGGTAGCCAATTATTACGGTCTGCGAGACGAGACAGAAGTCTTCCCATAACAACTACTTCATTTCATAACGCAAGAAGGTAGATTAAAGTCAAATCTTGCAACAAAAAGCATTTGTTAGAAACATCAAAGTTCCGTACAGTATATAAGAAGGGAGTGGATGATTTAAGAACACTTTTCCAGTAGACGAACATATAAGGAGAGAGTAAGTCAGTGAGAGGTCCAAAGACTAAATGATAAATAAAGACTACATTTGCACCACCCTACTTCAAAAAGTCCATAACTATTAAGTCCTATCACCTTAAGGACCACAGCCAAGCGGTTTTCACTTCGTTACACGTCTAACACCTAAGGTTAGAAAACTCACTAATTGATCATGTTCAACCTATTTCCACCCTAATCCTACTTCAAATTACAGAGGTAACTGAAGGCAGTGACTCAGCAAAAGAAGCATGCGTTGTTCTTTGCTCACCTTTGGTTAACGAAATTGAGTTGTGCTAAGTAACTCGTTTAAAGGAGGACTCGCTTATGACATGCAATATAGTTAACATCACAGGAGCATGTGCATTTATATATACACCTAGAGGTGAACATAAGCAGCATGCACTATCGAATCAAACGACAGTTCGAGAATACCGACTGCAGGTTAGTGGAATAGGAAGTATTCTAAACAGAACTCAGCAGACGGATCTTCAATAATTCAGCTCAATAAAGCTCAAATTCATAACCAAATTTTCTTAGGAACAGTAATCGAGTGAGGAGTAACTCGTTTATTAAAGCTTTTATCAACAACTCTTTTGGGGTACCCACTACTTAATAGTATTGTTCTGAGTTTCGATTTCACCATTTAACATATCTTCCGAACAAACATTTTGGATTTCGGAACACAACAAATGAATGAGATATTTTTTCTACTATGGGATACCTTGATCGTTGGTGAACTTCCTAATCCAGGTTGCTTTGCGACAGACTGACTTCTGTGGCAAACTGTCATCCCTTCTCTTTGACATAACATTTAGGAATAGCGAATTTAATTATTCTTCAGCAGTGAATTTTATATGAGTGAATACGAGTTCGCAAGTGAAGTGATGAGCGCATTCTACAAATCCACTCTTTATCCTTAACCTACGGGTTGGTGGAGACAAGTTATTTGGAAACATCTTATATTTGATAGTTGCGAAAAGCATTCCAAAATATTGAGACGTTTTGTTCAACACTTTCAGAAATTCTGCAGATAAAAGTAATAGCTATGAGTTACCCACTTTCCAAAGAAACTCTTATGTTGGCAGATCTACAGCTATCTGCGAACTGAGTCACTACAAAGATGTACGCCTTAATATTATAACCGTATTCAGTTACTTCCTCTCTTCAACTTATGAATATCGTTGCTGATGATAATAAGAACCACCAAAACTGAACAACCACAAAGTCATCCCTGATTGTACACCGAAGTGATTTTGACCGGATCTGATCACGAGTTGTTTTGCAAATTATGCAAATACTAAAATTTACACACCTGTACGCCAGTAACGGTTCAGAACATAAGGATCTTTCGCATTTCAGGCTTAATATATTCGGTTAAGACGGCAAGAAGCAGCTGACACTTGCCATACCTGATATCAGCAGAGCAAGATTAAACTGAGGAGGAAGGATAAAGAAAACACACGAAAAGTAAAGAGAGAAGTTTAAATGTATTAAGATGAGATTTTTAAGATATGCCTGATAACCTAACTGCTCAACACAGTCCCCAACATCTGACCTAACACTGCTTATACACTCGTCTCAACATGCAAATTGCATCATGATGAGACCCGAGGGCGAAATAAACATGAGTTGACTAACAATCTTTTCAATAACCTGAAGGAAAGATAAGTGGTAATTATATCTTCATCTTTCAACAAGTTCTGAAACATGGATACATCCACAGGGATTCCGCATCTACAACATTTCTTGACCTGAGGGTGACATTCGATTACATCTATGGGGTTTGAGACGTAATACCGTTAAGATGCAGAGTTGTGAGAATGAACGATAATACTTAGCAATTGATAGTCGAGAGTTGAGACGACTCAGTCTGAGTGATTCGCAAAGAGAAATCAAAAGACTGGAAATCAGATGAGTTTATAGTATCTCGAACTGAAAACGTTTATTAGTGAAAATGGACCCTATTTGTAGAGTTTACAGTCACCTTGAGGAGCAAGGAACAATTAGTACGTTTAAAGAAGCCATACGAAATATGACCCATGCGCATGAAAAAGAGCGCGAAGTAAAACAGTTCAAGTATATAGAAACTGTAAGTATGGAATATAAAAGATATAGGAAGCCCTAACAAATACATTTTAAGGGAGGACCGAATAGATATATCATGATACTGTAGGACTCTAATTAAGTTCAGATAGTTTTGAAAAGAATGATAGTTTTTATCTGAGGCGATGATAACCAGTGGTACCAGTCAGCGTTAACTGTCTCTACTCACTGTTCTTTGTGAATATAATAAGGAGAGTTACTCAGTTTACCTCTGGATTTTTAGGACGGTCATCAATTTACACTAAGCAGACGATACAATCCGACTAGATGAATATTCTGACGGAATGCAACGATCACTCAATGCCTTTAAGAAAATTCTTAGAGTGCCAATTATATTTTCACCTCTCAGCAAGCATAAAATGCACCCGACTTTCAGATTAGACTGGCGTGGTAAACTGTTTCCAGTACCCCACTGGCTAAGGAATTCATACTTCTCCTTACAGTCCGAGTCCTGATGAGATCGTAGCGAGTATGAAAGGTCTGTTTAACATCTGCTACCCTATACCGTCTACCACTTAGTTAAAGTACCTAGGTGTGAATACGAAAGTATGCAGCACAGACACGAAGTTAGCCGTGTAAAGTTAAGACTGAGTTCGAAGAACCACTTATGCATAGTGGAACCAAAAGAAGAGCAACGATTAAACCGAACATAGAACTAAGCAAAAGGGAGAATTAGCAAGTCAAGTGCTTTGTGAACTCCCATCGACTGGAGTGGTTTTGATTACCAGCATACATAACGAGTAACCATCTACTCTTGGGTGCGCGGCGGTGACTGAGGTGCATTCAAGTTGAATGAAGGCAAAGGATGAACAGATACGGCACTAATAAATGAATAACTTATTGCTTGTTTGAGCATCGTAGTAAATGTATCAGCTACATGGTCGATATTTACGAAAGGGTGAGAATCAATCACTGGATATGATTAGTAACAGCTCTAAACGCTACCCACCTTCATGGATGCATCCAGTCACTTTCTCCCTGGAAATCTTAAATATCTTATTACTCTACTGAAATTGTCTTCCTGCACCATGCTCTTCCTTACTAAAATATCTTTCCGTTCCTGCTAATTGTCCCACTATCCGTTGTTGCGAAATGTGGCAATACAAACCGATTGAAGTCTGAGCGAATGATTACGCGCACAGCAATGGTTTATTGGTATAGGTACTTTCCTTTCAACTAGTGAGTTACAGGTTGGAATCCCATCCCTAACTAACGGAATCTCAGCAACCAAAAAGAACCGTTAGCACTCACATGAAAGTAGTTTAGAACCTACTGCAGGAACGTGCATGTTGGTTGCTGCATTGGAATTCAGTTTTTTTTAGTTCGATTCATGCAGCCATGTTTACATAAATATCTCGCAGAGTGAGTGAAGATATAAACGAATAATACTTTTACATACGTGGAGTCATATATAAGTCTAAAAACTTACCGGTTCATCAGATTTGATAATCTTCTCAGTTGGCAGCTTGCAACATTCGTCTGTTGTTTCGTCTAGCTGACCAGTAAATGAAATTTCTGTTGAACCTGAACGAGATCTGATCAGCTCGTCTAAAACACAAGGTATCTCTGTATCTGTGTGATTATTGTCTAGTTTACACTCCAACTCAGCTGAAACCAAAAAATCATTCAAAACTAATTACCTTTTTAAAACTTTGGCAAAAGTACCACTTCAATCACCGAAATATTTCCATAAAATTAGCAAATGTGCTACTAACAGCGGACCATCAGAAATCGTTAATAACTACACCTCTCCGGAAATTTAAATGTCATGTAACAGTGGTGGTAGTGACTGAAAGTTATTTCCCAAATAACTAAATTCAAATAGATTACTTATGTAAACTTAAGTGCATTATGATGCCGTCATGATGCTTATCAGGTGTCCAGTGCTTTGCTAAGTACAGTTATATTACGTTTATGATATCCGACCGATCAATGGAGACAATTTTCAATAGTTGTGTCCAAAAACTTGCTCCCGAAAAGTTGCCGATATTCAGTTGGAATACTAAGAAAGTTATAAAGTCTTTCGTGATACATTTCCAGGTAGCAGAAATCCTTATTCACTTAAAGTTATCTCGTGATATTGGTTTTGTAGGTCAGGATAAACCTTACACATGCCGTGCTCGTTTGGTATTTTGCATAATTCAGTCTCTGTTTGGTTTTTGTAACTGGCTGAAAGAAATAGACGTAGGTAGCATAACCACTCATAGCAATGGAGAATAGATGGACAGCACTTGTGCACAATGACACCACAAACCAGAAATCCCAGAAACTAGATATGGAAAAAATTACACCAATGGAAAATCTCTGTTAGTTCGCTCTAACTCCCTGGGTAAATGTTACATAACTATGCAAACACAGTAACGTTGTGGAAAAAAACTAGTATATTTTAAGTTTGAAATCACACTCCAGTGACTGATAAACAAGTAACAGCGACGTCGTATGCAATTGACAGCAACGTGACATGCTTCAGAGTATAAGGTTGAAACAAATATTACCTGAAAATCAAACTCACTCTTTAGTCAAGAAACCTTTGACATTTCTAAATTATGAACTAAAAAGTACCGATTATCCGTACCACCTCAGTAAAATAGTTATCTTCTGTCATCATCTTCAGAGGATGTATTCATTTGCCTCTTCGCTGTCAGTACATTTTATTGAACCCTATTTTCTTGATATTTGTAAATCTCTTAGTCCTCTGTAAATGCTAAAAATTGATTCGAATAACTAAGTTTTATAGGATCTACTAAGTGCGAAGATAGAAGAAATCATACTCCCATCATAAATTCAGTCTTTGAGAAATGAACGAAAACCATGAAATTCACAAATCTAATAAAGGTTTGCGACGAAGATCAGGAGCCACAAATACTGTGAAACCTAAGGACGAAACCTGTTAGCGCGAAACTCGATGAGTTTGAAAGAGTTCAGACTTATTCCCCATTAATTTGAAAAGTGAGAGGGGAAACCAGTGAATCACGTGTTTGCAAGAAGCTAAATGTTAATAAATAATTTTCAAGGCCATGGACAAAGAATGAATATAAAAAGCTACACACTAGGCATTTTTTGGAAATGAAACTGCGAGTGTGTACGAAGTCAGTGAAAATACGGAATCTAGCATTTCCACATTTCGCATAGGAAAATTAATACACAAGATAGCAAGATGTAAAATAAAGAGAGAACACAAAATGAAATTTAAAGTTATAGAAAGTCACAGGTGAATAAGAGAGGTAAGCAAATAAAGTATTATGATACAACATTTCACACGAAGATAATGACGAATGTACAATAAAAGCTACTGTCATCGATTCTGAGCCATATAACCCAGAATCTCTAACCATCAATTTCGCCTGTCATAAAAACCTCAAGTGGCAAAACTAATTTTTTCCTAGGCACCTTGGACAAACCATTAAAGATCTTGTCAGTGAATGTACTGTATTAAACCAGACTCCTTTACTCTATATCCAAACTGCCAAAAGGTCAGAAAAAGTAGCTTGCTGTGGAAGATTACCAAGGAGTAAAACATAGCCAGGTCAAACAGTCGATGAAGGTTTATGACCTCATCGGCCGATTCTCTCTCACCTAAGATTCTACGTCTAACCTGCACATTACTAACGTGGTAGTTCTATGACACATGACCCAATGTTTCTCAGGTAGTAGTGACTGAACATCCTGGATTTTCTCATGTCCACTTGTGACGGGCATTTTTCACACCCAAATGCTGAGCAGTATATTCGGCCCTTAACAAACATTCAAATATCTTGCTGACTGGTAAAAATCAGGCAAGTTTTTTTGTTTTTCTGCAGAGATATCACTGATCACCAAACCATTTGATACGACTTCTTCAGTAAGTGAATTTTTCAACACCCACAACTACTTCACTCCCTATCGCTACACTAGGCATCAATACAAACCAGTTCTGAATCAACAGTTTGCATACGAGTGGTGGAAAAAGCACCAAAACACTCAAATTGCCACTAAGGATGATTAAAGGACTGAATTTTGACTTAACACGACTGTCACTCCAGTACTCCACGTTTACTAAAGAGACTCCTACGATAAGGTCACTCCCAGTAGTGTGAAACGAAGAACAGACCTCTATAACATGTCCAAGTTAAATAAAAGTGTATATCCCTGATGGAAAATTGACATTCATAACTGACCTGACACCTCACCATAGGATCTAACTCAACCAAAGGTATTCGAATAGAGATTTCAAGAGAGTGACCCGTTTAACAGGTATACAGACAACGTCATAAGACCTCTCGATAGACGAAACTAAATACCATCTTGAGGTCAATAAATACAGCTGGTATCGGGTATCTGTAATTATGCCTATGTTCGAAGACCTGGAGAAGGATGAATATCTGATCGACCCACCAACGATCTGGCTTTATCGTATATGGTGTTTCCGAGTATCATTTAGGTGTCTATTGATCATAGAAACCAAATTCTTATAAACGATATTCGTCGGACTGATTATCTTGGGATTGTCAAAGAACTTATTTTTCTTCTTCAAACCTGAAACAAACAATGATTGAGATCAATCAAAAGCAGTCGTGCCTGCTTCTCAAGTGCTGGTTGATATTCTGGTTATTCTAACCAATTATCTTTAAACACCTTCACTGAATACTAGTACTACCCCCCATCAGGGCCAGTTGCCTCTCCTCGTTTAAGATTACTTATAACTTTCTCGAATTATACACGAGTTGGAGACCCTATCTCAGTACTCACTTTAGGATTTAACTGGATACAAGGTAACCGAAGACCAATTGAACTATTCTCCAATGTTTTGTTTATCATTTTAGTTGCCTATGGCAATTGGATCTCACACTTTCTTCTCGCAAACGGTCTCGCTAGTCAACGACTTTCTTCGCCGTTTGTTTGATAAATCTAAATAACAATTCACTGTTATTTATAACTGCTTGTTTTCAATCGCCTTAGCCTTTGCTGATCACTATGGCATGCGGTTAGAAATGGAGGCTTTTTCATCCTTGATTTCAGCTGTCTCCTATCTTTATTGTGCGCACACCCTACGAGAATACTTTACCTGCACCTCTAAATTGGGATTAAGCTACTGAGGTGCACCGACGCTTACAAACCTTCTAACTACAATTAATATAGGGTTTGGAAGTTTGGCGCTGAATATTGTACACTGTATCTCATCTTTTAACTTTCCGTCATCAGTGGTAAAGTTCTCTCAGCACGGATGCAACTCTATAAACTCTAACACCCACGGAAAGATAGTATGCCACCAATTACATTTTTGCTCAATTATAAGAAACGAATCCTCCTTATCTTTCAGGCACCTCCAGAAGGCATGAACATTCACTCATCTAACCATAACCCATTCGTTTCAATCGTTTTGATCCCTTGACTTTATCATTTCGTTCCCTTACCAATGCTATACCTCTTAGAGTTGCTACAACTCCTTACACTGCAGCCGCTTCTAACTATTTGCATTAGTGCAACACTATTGGGTTTCTTAAAGACAAAACATCTAACTACACATCAAAGCTTTGTGTCTGAACCCTGTGGAGAGTCAGACAACAAACCTCACCTTTGGAATTTCATCATCATGATATATCAATGAACGTTGTTTCTGAAATGCACAAGCAAAAATATGTATAGTCATCCACTTGGCTATTACTGACTAATACGGTGAACCAGTAACATTCCTCTTATAAGATTTGACAGCTAGTTCCCACTGAGTAGCTTGTATCAGGATAGCACTAGGTTCTAGAGTTAAAACACAATTTCATAACCGAATAGATTCTCTCACCTGGAACTCTACACAACAGTGGGGACGAATGGATCACACAGCTACAACCAATCTTCGGACAGCTGTTCTTCTCACATTACGTGATTGAACTCTGATTAAGCGCTAGTGCATGCTTGCTTTATTGAAAGCAGGAAATGAACTGGTAATGTTTGTGCTAGAACAATAATCATAGTGCCAGTCGGATACTAAATGCATCCAAAACTTCGGCTATTTTTATACTTGGCAAAAGTCTGGGAAAATGACTCGCGAGAAACATACCGGGTTTCCAACAGGTTAAGGGTTTACTCGTCAAGCGCTAACTTATTACGAGATGGCTGAACACCGTCAAAAATAGCCCACCAGTAGCTTGGCTTTTTGATAAGAGAAACAGAATCAAGCTGAACCCATACAATAACGAGGGGTACACATAGTAAACTCACCCATTCCTAGTACTCTTTATAAAAACAATTCCCTTGATGTGGTGAGCTTGAGGCATTTGGCTTCGCAGCTGTCTTAGCAACTTCATTTTGCTTTCAATGTTTTGACAGGGTTAAGCACATGTTGCCTATTCATATCACTGCGTAGATATTTAACCTCATGAATAAAAATACGTGAAATCAGCTACGTAGCCAAATATGTGCAAGCTATTCACTCTGAGGGAAAATGTGAAAATATCTTGTGCGACAAACATTTGGCAGTAGGTTGAATATATGCAACGAAATCAACTTTTTCAGGCACAGTTCTCAAGTGATAAGGATTTTAGAAAAATTGTGCTATGCTGTATGCACGCATTCTTTAACAGGATGTCAGACTTGTTGGTTGCAACGAAATATAAAACGAAATGACCTAGACGGAGAATATAAATACCAACACCAACTCATAGATTTTTCGAAAATTTAACTTTCCAATTGCGAAAAGTAGAGAAAGTCCAAGTCATATAGGTGCCATTGCAATACACGATTTGATGACTTATGGCTTCAACTCAGACGGTCACTTGCATTAGACTACTA